GGGCCACAATTAAAAACACAAATCAAATGGCGGGCCGCAACTTTATCAAAATTTTATGTAGGACTCTTTTATGTTTGAAGGAACATTAAATATTACTGTCAGATTTTTACCAAGTTGTACAAAACAAAAGTATTGAATTACAAATTAAAATATGATGTAGATTTTTAAAAATATTTAATTGCATTTAAAAAAATTCGGACTACAGTAACTTTAATGTGCAACAGATATATAATTGTTAAGATTGATTGTTAAAACTTTAAAAAGGTTGGTATTAAAATTTACATAGTAGCGCACAAAATGTTCAATGACAAGATTGAGGTTTGTCTGCTGCAACCACCAGAGAATAGATATTTACATTTAAAATTTACAAATGTGTGTGTAAATATTTTCGTCCAAAATGAGTGGTTTCAAAAAGTTAAATAGGAGAATTTCTTCGAGAAAATTTCTGATACACACATGCTAAATTATATTCACAAAAAAAAAAAATGAAATAAAAAAGAGCAACATACACGATTGTTTTGTATTTGAATAAATATTTTCTTGGAAGCAATACCTGAGAAATAATTTTTTTTTGCGCCGTTGGTTTGATAAATTTCACAGAAACGAAGAAATTAGGTTTTTATTAACGAGGAAAGTATTTTAAACCCATATCGATTTTTTTACGAAAATTGTCCGCAAAAAAATGACAACTAATATATAACTTAGTTCGCGGGCCACAAGAAAGGATTCACGGGCCGGATGCGTCCCCTGGGTCGCCAGTTGGAAACCACTGATCTGGAGCTTTACATCATTTACTAATGCGCGTTGATATTAAAAAAATATATGAGTAATTCATTTTCAACCATATCACACTATTTTTTTCCGTTTATTTGGGTGTCACCTACGTAAGTTGTTCTATTACATACAAGCTTTTGTAGTAAATAGAAAGTTTAACAATACAAATTTCTTACTTGCAAAAACTAAAATCTTTTAATATGTCCGCGTTTCTATTTTCTTCACATTTTTCAGCTGCAATCAGGAAATTCTTCATATCACAAGATACATACCCAGCCAAAGCTATAAAAACACAATCGTTTTCAAAAAATTAATTTACTGCGAATTTAAGAACTAGTTGATTAGTTTGTTTTAAAATATCTGTTACGCGTCAGTTCTATAAGTTTTATGTTAATTATTAATGCTTCAAAAACAAGATACACATGAATTTTTTTAATAATTAAATGTGGATCCAGTAAAAAAAAGTAAAAAATAACAATAACGATTGGAACTTGGCATACCAATGTTCCAAATGATTTACACCTAAATGTGCAAATTAATAATTGCAAATAGTAACAATATAAAAAATTTTCTTCTTTTTTTTGCTTGTTTCATAAGATTCTTTTAACAGATCTTAGATATTTTCATATCACTGATTTGAAATCTGTAATCGATTTCTCTTTCCAAGCTTTTTAAGTCCATAGTTTTTGTCGAAATGTATATGTTTTAAATCGCTTTATATAACATAAGTTCAAGGAAATGTTGCAACAAACTTCTAAGAAAGTTAGGGCACATCATGACTTATTACAACGTTATAATTTTGTTACTAATAATTTTGTTGTGGTATTTCAATATCAAACAAGGTTTCGTGGCCAAAATTAGTATTTCGATAAAATATTTTTCAAAATTTGGGGTTTTTTATGTGCAAGTAAATTGAATTCATAATTGAAATTTTGAAATACACTAATAATATCCAAAAAAAAAAAAAAAAAAAAATGGCGGCTGAAATATAGCGAGCAAAAATAAAAAAAATAATATAGCACGTTTAAATATTAATATAGCAATGAAAATATAATAATTTTCGTAATTTCATATTAAAAATTACATTTCCTAAGTAAAATTACAAAATTACGCGAACACATGAAAAAAAAACATAACTTTTCTATTTCGGTATACTTAGTCCTTCTTTGCAATACGGGCAAAATGGAGCAGGTTTTTTCGAAAGAAGAAACATCAAAGAAGACAACAACAAAAAAGTTTAGCTAATTACCTCGTGGTTCTAAAAAGAACTAAGTTTCGAAAGTCATTCAAACATTGTAAAATGTCAAACGATAAGATATAAACTATAAGTTTGTCAAGAGTATTAACTAATCTAAGAAACTGAAAAATTGTACTATAATTTCAGACTAATTACTCTGATAAAAATGTAATAGTAAGGTGAAATTCCTATATTTATTTTTGAAATAAAAATTTTAAAGTTACATTAAAAAAAATTTTTTTTAAACATATTTTTCATTACATTGTATTCTCGTTGGTTCAAAAAGTAAATTGTAATGTTCGGAATGATTATGAATACTTAATTTGGGCTATATTAGAACATATTTTAGTTGAAAATTTAATTTTTGACTTTTGGCCAAAGATCATGGTAATGCTCACAGTGCATTATAAAGTTTAATTCTTTATTTAAATTGCAAGTTGTTTCAACAAAACAATCTTTTCTTTTCTTTACCTTATAAGGTCTTAATATATGCAGCACTCAAAATTGAAATTTAATATTCCTTGTCGCTCAAATTAAAATTTTATTTGTATGAAGATTTCAGATCATTAGCTTAAAACTTTTTTTCTTAAGTTTAAGCTAGAGTCTAAAAATTACAGAATATTGATTTGAGATAATGTAAAAGTAAAGTTTAAGTAACAATCTCAAAATAAAGCTTTCAGTTAATTTTTCACAGATTTTGGGCATATGAAATAATGAAAATATAAAATTTTAAAAATGCATGCAAAAAAAATTTTCCGTTATGAATTAAATAGTTTAACAATTAAAATATTATGCAATAACTAATATTTTTTTAATAGTTAAAAAATTAAATACTTATTAAATCGTACTTCCAAGTAATGCTATCGTAATCCACTGCATATTGAAATATTTGAATTAGCACCTTCTTCTTGTTTCAGTGTCTAACCCAAATGTGCTTTAAAATCAAGGTTACGGAATTTTCAGCCAACAACAGTATTTAATTTATCAAATCTTTTGATAAGTTGCGAATTTTTCCATCTGTTGTAAAATTATCATTTTTCAATAGTGCTTAACTGATTATTTAACCCTGAAAATATTTAAATCTGCGTAATACGTAATTTAAAAGAGATTTTCAAAATTGAATCATTTCCTTTATATAAATTCATAACTTTATATAAAATAATACAAATAACTTTTACAATGCAATAACTTTTGTTCGATTAATTTTTGATATTTATCAGTCTATTATTCAATTTTTTTAATCGAATGTAAGACTTAAAAGTTTTCGTTAATTACTACAGGTACAGTTATAAACTTTTTTTTAAAAGTAGGATTAAGTATTTTTTTTAAAGTTTTACACAGCATATTAAATATTTTACCATCATATTTAAAGTAAGTTTAGTAAAGAAGTGTATCTGAAATAGCTTTTTAACTAACTATTGGATTTTTACGTACGAATTTTCATTTTTCTTGGCTCAAGGAGTGCAATTGGAATGCTTTCCTAAATCAGAAAAAAACTGTAAAATAATTTACGAAATCTGAAAACAAAGCATTTTAGTTTTTTTCGAGTTTTTTTTTTTTCGTGCTCTTTGATATGCATTTTTCATTTACTTATGTATAGAAATTTGCCATCCAAATATCAAAATAAAGCATTATATTAACATGATCATAGGAATGTTAAACTTATTTTTTTCTTTTCCTTTATTTTTGCAAATATAATACTATTTTTATCCAAAAATAGCTTTGAAGTTATAATTATTCTTAAATTGCTAATCAAATTTTAATTCCGTTTTTGATAATGAGACGTGAACATTTTAGCATTATGTTAAATAAGTAAATTGAAAAATTTTGAAATTAAAGTAAATGTTTAGAATGGTAGTTTATGCTTATGTAATAATTTCGTTTTATAATTAAGCTTGAATGTATGAAGTTGAACTAACTCTAGTGTTGAACTAGCTAGTCTAGTTGAACTAGCTTTTAAAATGTTTCAGACATCGTTAAAAAATGTAGTTTGAAGTTCAGAGCTTGAAATGTTCAAGCCTAATGAAAATTTTATTTTTTTAAAATGAAGGATCTTTTATTGTTTATTAATTCAAATATTTTTTTTTTGCAGATTTGTGGCCAAGTATATTTGAGTAACTGATTATTCAGAATCAATAGTTAATATGGCTTTTTAATTCGGTAATCAAGGTTTACAAATTTTCCTATTTTATAAAATAATAGAGTTTTCAAAGTTCATCAAGGATCTGATGTGGAAATTTTCTTAATTTAAAGTTACGTACCGTGAACAGAAATAAATTTCTAATTTAGTTTTTAGTAGAAATAAACTCTCAGTTTATAAAATTTTAGAAATTTTAATTTTTAAGTTTACGAGTTTAATATCAATACGAGACATGTTGGCAGTTACGTTACATGAGACAACAAAACTTACATCAAATTTGAATATTTACAGAGATATTTTCAGACCTTAATTCATTCTAAGTACGAAAATGATTTTTTTATTGTGTATTAAAACATCGTGAGCGACGCTGTCGCTGTTTTAGGTGCTCAAATTTTACGCTAAATTTTGTTTAACTGCACAAAAGCAAATTACTAAAGCGTTTATAAAGAAACACAGTAGGTACGATTGAATAAGAAAAAATTATTAGTTAAATATTAGTTCAAAAATTACTGACTGCAAAATTTCTAGAAAAAAAATACCCTGAAGTATGCTCTGCAGCCAGCAGGACTGCAACTAAAGAGTCGAAATATTTTGTGCTGAAAGTGCCATTTTTATTCATAAGCTTTACATGATTTTGTTTTTTCGAAATTCTAAATTCAATTTATTCTAAGTCATTGCAATTTTAAGGGCTTTTTTCACGAATCATTTCTCACTTTTATTGCTTTAATGATTATTTATTCATTTTTTCAGAAAATTTTATTTATCCCCCTAAATGTAACAGGTCTCCTCTGCCTGACGACGTGTATCTGGTGCTCTTCGTCGAGTTTGACTCGGGGCCTTGAACCTGAGAGTCCGCTTTGTTTGGCGCTTGTGCTGTGTGGGGTGTGGGGCTGCTTCGTACAACGATATTTCTAACACTTGGTGTATTGGTCCTGCGGGCCTGGTCAGCCGTATTTAACTCCTTATCCCTTTCAAAATCTTTATTTTAAATGGTCGCGTTTGATAAAGGGAATAGATGTTGCCAGATGTAACATCTTAACATTAATATTGAAATTCTTAAAAATATAAAAAACTTAATACAAGAGTTCTAAAGATATGAAACCGCTGTCTCTTTGAATTTATATGATGACATAAAGTTATAGTTAGAAATAGTTAACAAGTAAATTTTTTTTTTCATTTCTTCTTATTGTATATCACGCATTCTGTTTTCTTAATTTCGAGTACTGTTGATTATTTTTCAAACCCAGATAATCATTAATATATATACAATTGCGATTAATATATTAGCAAAATATGCTTCATTAAATTTTAACAATTATATATATTTCATCAACAAAATACTTTTTTGACAATGTCAACTTTAAAAAAAGAATATTAACTAGAAGCATTTAAGGGGGATGGTGAGCGGTGCGAGCAAGCCTGCAGAACTTTCTAATATTTAAAAAAGTTTCTAAACTATTAATCAAATTTTGAATATTTTACTCTTAAAGAATACAAAACTCCTCTTTAATTAGTACTAATGTCTTTTTTACATTTAATTTTATATTTTGTGTGGATTTTAAGCATTCAACTATATTCCAAAAAATTAATTATCAACTCATTTATTTGATAAATGCGTTAAGAATGAGTTTTTTCTTCTGACTAATGCAAATAAATTTGTTTATCTTTTCCAAATGCAAGCAAATATTGTATAGGAAAATTTACTAATGAGTTAATGAAATTTATTACATTTTTTGGGATGAAGAGCGAATTAAAAAAATAAACATTCAATATTCTGGAATTTTTAGCAAATATATTTCCACGATTACAAAGCCTTAATGCAAATTATCTTTTTTAATCTAAAAAGGACTAAGAAAAAAAAACTAATTCAATTTTCGTTTTGATTAAATATCCAACGTCGTAAATTTATTTAAAACAGTTAAGAGCCGCATTAAGTAGGAAATTGAATTTTTCAATTTTATGAAAAGTATTTTTATTTCTCTGTAAGGCATTTTTGCCTTTATATCCTAACTGTTGTGCGAAACTTTTTTTTTAGTTATGTACTATAACTATGAATTAATTCACTATGAATAATTTTAATGATAACTAATTGTCTTTATTCATTGTAAAAAATTAATTGCTTGTTGCTTCAAAATGGATAGTTCTTAATGTTCAAAAATAAAAATGACGGTATTGTATGTAAATTAACAACTGTATGCACACATTTTCAGAATTATATTTCGAAATGCTAATTTAATTAAATAGACACAAAATGTCTATGCATGTTTATAGTTCTAGTGCATTATTAAAGAATTTTTTTAATTAAAAATCTACACTAATTTATTATGTTTATACTATTATGCGTCAGTTATAAGGAATTTTATTATAAATTTAATAATTGCGCACATAAATGCTCGATTGCGCAAACGATTAATAGATTTTACAATAGCGCACCTAGGGAAAGCATTTTTTTTTCTATGCTATTTAGCGCACATCTGGATGCCCTAGAGATAAAATCGCATAAATCATCGAGCGAAACGATAAAGCTGATATAGAGTGTTTCGTAATCACCACCCTAAATATAGATTTTTAGAATGGTTGTAAAAAAATATGTACTTTATAGTGATCGCACATTAACTTTTGAACGAGGAAAAAGGCGGGATGAATTACATCAAAACTACTCAGATTGTCCGATGAAAGTTTTACACGTTTATAATTAGTGGTTTTCAACTCTTCTCTGCTTCTTTCGGCAATCAAACAGTTCTGAAGCTGTGAGTCTCGCTTTCCTAAGTAGTGTTTCGTTATTTGATTTTGATAGTTTTAATTTTTTCTTAGCTTAACAACTAATTTGCGACCACTAATGTAAATACTTATTATGTTATTTTTAATAAGGATTATTAAAATGTGCAGTGTGCCGAAAAAACAGACCACCCTGAAAACTTTAGATCTTAATTGTCTGAAGGGGTGACCACAAACATGCTAATTAATTAGTGCAGATGATATTTTAAGTAACAAAATCAGACACCAAAGCGTACTTTCTCTGATTATCTGAATAAACATACACTTTTTTCAACGGATTTAAATTTCTGACCTCCAAAATATACGGGGCAGCGGTATTCTGGGAATTATTGTCCCCATAGTTTGGTCAGGAGAGCGATCCAAAAATTGGATCCCTTAATTTTGATTTTACTTTTTGCGTATTTCGCTATATCTTGATAACTTTTTAAGTGAATTGAAAAACTTTTTCACACAATTATAAAATTCGTTTCGTCAAAGATAATTCCTTGCAAAAAATAATTTGGTAAATATTTGTTATGATTAAATATTTTATTAAATAATAGTCGAAATATTTTGAATTGTCCGGTATACAGCATTTTACATCGTTTTAAAGTAAGCAATTTTACATGGCAAAATATAAAGTTCGAACGAGATCGGTTGAATAGTTTCTGAGAATTCTAAATTTAAAGAAGTCGTACATTTAAAATTCTATTTCGCCGGAGCTGTTCAACCAATTTTGCTCAAATTTTGGATTTTGTCATGAAAAATTACATGCTTTAAAATGACGTAAAGCATTGCATACCTTACGATTTAAATTTTTTCGACTATTATTTAATAAAATAACAAAAATTAATAAATATTAACCGAAATTAATTTTTTGCTTGGAATTATCTTTGAATAAACGAATTTTATAAATTTGTGCAAAAATTTTGCAATTCGTCTTAAAAATCTTGAGATATGGCGAAATACGCAAAAAGTAAAATTAACATTAAGAGGTCCAATTTTTGGATCGAACTATGGGAACCATATTTTCCAGATTGCGGTTACCCCCGATATCTTGGAGGGTCAGAAATCGATGCAAAATTCAAAGAGTTGGCTTCGACTGGCCATGGCCAAAATTAAATTTTCTCATTACTCTATTTTTTATGGTAGAGAACACAATTTTACAAAAACTAGTTCACCACTGTAATTGAAATTCTGCATACTTCTTCTAGAATAAATAACTAGCTATTGTACTGAGAAATTTGTAAACTTGCGGTAGAAATCACAATTTTTAATCCTGACTGCTACTTATAACTTAGTAGTTATTTCCAAATCTACAGAGCTTTTCCCTGATATCATTGTACTAAGTTAACTAGTTAACTTTTCCTTGAAAGCTTTCTTTTTCTATTTATTGTAATAACACCATTCACTTAATATTATATGTGATGTAATTAGCCTTTTAATTGCTAGTTTCATAATTTTTTCTATTAAAATTGGAGAGTTAGTTTTAATAAAAAAGTGACAGAAGTTTTTCCTCATTAAATATCATGTTACTCATAAAAAGATTCATATTATAACATTACTATAAATTTATGTTTCTCAAAGAAAAAAAAAGTTATTTCCTAAATTTATAGTTTATTTAACTCATGAATAGATTTCTTAATAAAAATAAAACTATTCTCTATATTTTGAGAATTTCTTTGTCTTTTATGAACTGATTCTCAATGCAGTGTGATTGTAAGATAACCTTCCTATTTGTCCCACACTGTTTAAAATACGGAATAAAATTTTGTATAAAAGTATTGTAAAGTATGCACTGATGTATAAAAAACTGTACACAGTTGTGAAGGTTACAGTAATAGGATTTCGAAATTTAAAAAAACCAAACACCTACTCTTTTCACTGAAAAACAATCTTCACGGTAAAAAAACTATATTGGATGTAGAGCAATATTTTATCTCATATACTAGCGACGCTAGACGGAGACGAAGAGAACAAGAAGTGGCATACAAATCTCTGTATTATTTTCACCCTACCAATTGCAGTCAGAGCGTGTTCAGACAAGGACATATAGAAAATTATATCCTTTTCCTCATCTCTGTATTATTTATGAAGTAATCTTTTATTTATTTCGGTCAAGTTCCGCTCCGTCGCGATGGCTCAGGGGATAGAGCATTCGCCTTCCAATGAGGCGAACCGGGTTTGAATCATAGCGATGACTGGTAGATACGAATTCCGCACCCGGCTTGCACCGACCACAGTGCTGGCATGAAATATCCTCAATGGTAGTCTGATCATGGGTTAGAGCCCCCTTGCCGTCAGGCCAACCGTGGGAGGTCTCCGTGACTTTCCTCTCCATATAACGCAAATACGGGTTAGTTTCATCAAAAAGTCTTCCATGAAGGAAAATTTCTCCCAATACTGGGTCCAGGAGTTAACTTGTCTTCTGGATTGGGTTCAAAATTACAAGGCTACGTAGTTGAACATTAGTAGTCGTGAACCCAAGAAATTGGGTCGTCTGTTCAACGACGGTTATAAAATAAAACAAAATTCCGCTCGTATATGTGTAATAAATACTGTTCCAACACCATTTTAAGTTTTTATTTATTTATAAATTTTTTTTATTGTGATGATCATGTTTCGATGAAAAAAATTTAAGTGTTGACTTTTGGAAATTCCAAAATTCCATATATATATANAAAAAAGGTGTTTTGAATTAAAATAAACTGAAAATTTTAGAGCAAAAAAAAAAAGTTTCAAACTGATTACTAAAAATGAGGATCGTTTCATAATGTATTAGCAATATTTAATTAAATATATATATAAAATTTTCCTCCGTTCTCTTGAGCGAAATGTTCTTTAGAAAGTTATAAGTTATATACAGGCAAAGTTATTTTTTGATTCCCTGGTATTTAAATATCATTTGTATTTTTACTATATTTTTTTTAAAAAAAAAACTTATTGTTTGATACACAAAAACTAGTTTTTTAGTACACATAAACACGACTAACGTCATACTATCGCGAACGAAGTATTTACATCAAAAATCCTTTACATTAACTGGAAAAATTAATGAAATTAGAAGGTTAATTGAAATTTGAACAGAATCTGATTTTATTGTAAAATCAACCAAACATAATTTCATTGAAAAGAAAGAATTAATAATAAAATATGAGAGCTAATTTGATCAAGGATTTAGAAACTGATTTAGAAAAGAAAGAATTTAATTAAATTTTCCCTTTAAAATTTGCAGCAAACTTAATTTAAAGCAGGAAGTAAATTAACTTTAATTCAGTATTGGCTTTCGAAAATAAATGATTAATTTAAGGATTACTACGATTTGTCCGATTTGCTGCTTAGAAATTAACATCTTGTGGGGTGAGTAATTTGGAAATAATTTTGTTATTATTATTTTTTAATATTATTGAATTTTCACTGAGATTTAAAAGAAAAGTTGTAAATAAATGCTAATTTGCATCAATAAATGTATGACATGATATGAAAATTTCTTACTCAGAGTGTTCTATTATCACTGCTCTTAATATGAACTTTCAAAATCTATGTTAAAAATAAGCAGCATATTTAGTTTTAATTTTTTGATAAGAGCAACACAATCAGCAACATATTTAGTTAAATTTTTTTTCAAAAAATAATAATTTACATGTTTTTTTTTGTTGTTTTTAGGAGATATCTAAAATTCAAAACATTATTTTGCGAATCTTCTTTTGTAATTGTGTTTTTTTATTCGAAAATAAAATTATTTATTGCTTCTTAATTCTGCATATTATGTTTGCCTCCCTCCCTGAAAAAAAATTATTCCGATGCCTATGATAAACCTGCCCCGATTGAATAAAACTTAACAAAATTAACTTAATAAAAAGGTAAAACATTCTTAATGATGCCATTATTCTCTTTAGGACTGATTCTTTTGATAATATTCATTATTAAGGATCAATTTTATTTTTATTATTAAATATTCTTTAACATTCACTAGTAAATCTTTTAATGAAGAAAACAATGTTAAAGGATAATGAATAAAATAAATGTAAACACTGTTTTGTTCTTAAAAATAATAATAAAGTCAGAATAATCTTAAGAAATGATTTTAACTAATAAGTAATTTTTGACTGCAGATTAAGAATAATAAATAAAAAAAAATTTTCTTCGTAAAAGTTTTTTATTGTTGTGGTAACATTAGTGCTTTTATCAGACGAAATCGAAAAGAGGTATTGCCAATAAATATTGATTTGAAAAACCACGAACGAAAGTAATAATTGTCTTAAATATGTTTTTAACTTTGTGCTGAGTTTTAATTTTTTTATTGCTGCAATCAATGCATTATAGTTTTGGGTTTCAAACTGGTTAAGGTACGCCAAATTGTACAAGTAAACTGTATATGTAATGTCTGGATAATTTATATATACATAGCTGCCAACATGGAGAGGGAAAAATCCAGTAGATTTTATGAAATATAAATTTTATGATAACTGTATATTTGACATATAGGGAATTTTAGGGATTTTTATCGTCATCAAAATACGAAAACTTAATCACTCAAAAACAATAAATGGTTTGCAATATTTTCCTTTTCTGATTGACATTAAATGAATTTGAAATATTTATATAGTGTAAACTCATACTTTCTAATAGAAATAAATAATTTATTATTGATAGCTAAAATTTTTTTTTTCAAATATTTTAAAAAAGGTGTTTTGAATTAAAATAAACTGAAAATTTTAGAGCAAAAAAAAAAAGTTTCAAACTGATTACTAAAAATGAGGATCGTTTCATAATGTATTAGCAATATTTAATTAAATATTCAAGCAAGCAATAAATTTGATTTCAATAGGATTTAATAGCAATAAATTCGAATTTTGGAAAATTACTCAATTTTAGATAATTTTTAAATTATACAAAAATTAGGAGAATTTTTATTAAACCAGTAGACATCCAGTAGAGTTGGCAAATATATATATATATATANTATGTGTATATATATATATATATATAATTACTCTCTAATCAGAGGAATAAAGACAAAAAATATTGTTTATTGACAATAAATGATATATCAATATATATACTAATTTCGTGATTTTTTTTCTAATGACATAAAACATTGTTTTTACATGATATTAGATATTATATCTTATAACGATATTTCAACAATTAAATGTTAGCAAAGCAATTTGATTTTTATCACCATAAAATCAAATTGTTTCCATTACGTATTAAAATAAAAATCTTGAAACTTGTATCTTTCAGGCACATACGAAGGCTTCAGGAACCATTCAGGTAGCACAATCCCTTAAACAGACCAAGCATACTTTCGTACAATGTCTGGAAAGCTTTCTGGGCATCTTCAGTGGAGCATTTTTTAAAATGTTCGAACATACATTCTCGATTCGAGCCGAGGTTTCTACAACATTAAAATAAACTCGTAAAGATAAAAAGAAATTCACAATAAAGAGAAATCAAAAGTGTGATAAAAATAGTATCTAAACAATAATTTTTAATTGAACTTTGCGATTTCAGAGCAAATAGTGTTAAGTAACTTTTGTGTTTTTGTAAAAGTTGCTCATTGAATGATATATTATACAGTTATTTTATATAGTGTTACAAATTTGCAAATGCGTGTATAATAATCTGAATATTCTTTTGCTACGAGGCTAAATTTCTCAGACGGACCCTAAAGAAACAGTTTAATTAGAAAATTTGCTAGTCCCGGAAGGGTGTTTTCCGAAATCTCCGTTGTAATATGATATTGTTGTTGTGGTTCATTTACATCGCACTAGAGCTGCACAATGGGCTATTGGCGACGGTCTGGGAAACATTCCTGAGGATGATACGAAGACATGCCATCACAATTTTGCAGAGGGGATGGCACTCCCGCTTTGGTAGCCAGACGACCTGCACGCGAAGTCGAGCACTTTACGGTAGAACAGTTTAACGAGGACCAATACCGCACACCCTAGGTCCCTACGCAGACTGATGCAAGTGGTCACCCACCCGCGCACTGACCACAGCTAGTAATGCTTGACTTCGGTGATCTGCTGGGAACCGTGTCTTAGCGATCAGTCTACTGCGGGACCCGTTGTAATTTGAAATGATGCTTTTTTGCGATATCAAAGCTATATTCGAAAAAAAAATGCAATATAAATAGCAGTTATAAAAATATCAATGCTATTTTTGTAACTGCTGTGAGTTTGCAAGTGTTATTTATGACTGTTAGATCAAGTTTAGCCTATCTATGCTTATTTTGAAAATGGCGCAAATCGTCAATATGGAGCAAAACGTCAATGGCGCAAAACGTCAAAAGCCACAGTTTTGTGAAAATGAAAAGCATTTGTGGTCTAATTTTTTATAATTTAAAAACTCACTCCAATGCTGCATTTCTCGGGCTCATGGAAATTTGCAATAACTGAGAATAAGGCAGTGATTTTGAAAATTTTCATCTAGGTGTAAAAATGTCCCTAAATTGGCAATTTTTAACAAAGTTTAATAGCTTTTAAAATATTTCAATTATTTGTCTGTTCTAAAGCCATTCACGGCAAGATTATGTTTATAGTTTAATATAATCATCGCATTGCTTCAAGTGTAAGGCACTTAAAGTATAACTTTTTTTAATTTTTATTTTCCTTAGCGACAGAGTTTCGAAAAACAGCGTTGAAGAGAAAATACCGTCTAATGTATTTCTTATTGAAGGCTCGGTTTGGTAATTTTTTTGCTGACTTGGCGATAATCTTGGTGACTTTTTGAAATGTAACGACCATTTTAGCGAAGTTCTTGAAAATTCGAGTTTCAAACCAAGAGGACTAATATGTACGGAGTTATGCCAGAATAGTTTAGAATCGTGTGGAAAGTAACATGGTGTCGTTGGCTATATTTTCAAGCAGAATCTTCATATAAACTTTTGGAGTTTTAAGGAATTTTTTTATACATCTCCTATCGAAACAAATACCTGCGCTTGGTACAATAGTTTAAATATATTTTATATCGTTATTTATTTACATATTTTTAGGTATTAAGATTTTAGGGAATCTACAAAATGCCTGGTAAAAATTAGAGATGATAGATAACTTCGCTCGCAATATTTTCAGTTTTATGGAAATAGGTTGTAGATAGATTTAAAAGAGGATATTTCTGGTCACGCTATAGTTTAATGAAATTAACTATGCGTCAAATCGTTTTTGATAAAGTACGGGATGTACCGTAATTGCCGCTGAAAATATATTATTAATTATAAACTTATTTACGACTTCTTATGTATACTTAGTTTTGAGCTCATTTTGAAAAGGATTTGAAAAAAAGTCTATATTAAAAGTAGTAATTATGGAGCATCCTGTTTATATATTTCTGACAGTTGGTATTTAAGATGGTAGATTTAGTAAAGGCATTACCTACATTCACCAATTTTACATAAAAAAACGTGTTCAAATTATTTCTTAAATAGTCCTATCACTTTAAAAAATAAATTGTTCAAAAAATAAAAAAGGAAAGTGCTCAACAAACACCTAGTAGTATCAAATACATGGTGTGCAATTACTCCTTTAATACTTATTTTTAAAAACGTTATAAATAAGGAAATATTATTAGGTGTGGTATTGTATTATTGAAAAAAAGTAAAGAAACAAAACTTTGTCAAATTGTGACGAATCATCATCAAGGCCTCTCAAAATAAAGAAGAATTCAAATAATAAGAAAAATCCAATAATTCCAAGAAACTAAAGAGCTAAGATCATTACTTGATTAAAAACTTAATTTGCTTAAAAAAATGCAAATTCCAAATTCTTCTCATTCACATCTGGCAAGTTTTGAAAATGGACTCTTGTTTTTAGCATGTCGATTATTATTTCCAATTTGTATTTTTTTTCCAGTTAAGTAATTAAAAAAATAAGTTTACTTACGGATGAAAGTCATTAGACATGTCTTAAAGAAAAGTGAACGCATAATATATTTTCCAATTGACAAATGTACTATTATTGTCATCATTCGCTTTTGCTGTGATTGAACACGAAAAAAGTTTTACTTTTTTTTAATCATAATTTGCGAACGTATCGTTTTATGTTCGAGTTACTTTATTTCATTAATTTTAAACTAATATTTTAAAATTTAATAAACTATTTCCTTGCACAAAGTGTTTGGAATAGAGTTTGATCAGCACACGGTTACAAATTAAAGACTGTATTTTTTAAAGACTACTTTCTGAATGATACGTAGACTGAGAAATATTTACTTACTCGCAATAAAGATTGTCTTCATCATTGCTCCTTCTGTCTACCATTCTTTTAACATTACCTTGAGGATCGCAATCTGGATCAGAAAAAGTGTGCATGTCACAGTTTTCGTCATTTTTTAACGCTGCAAGAAAGAAAAAACAGAGCATACTATTAATGATACTATTTACTAATACAAAATATTTCAAAGTGGTTTTCTCGAAGTAATAAGCAAAATTTCGAAGCAATAACTCTGAAATTCTCTTATAATCTGCTTTTCTGCCTCATGAATCATACATTCAAGAGAAACGAAACAAACCGGTATGATTATTGCCAACCAGCTTTCAACTTGACAGATTCAGTATGGGAAATAAAACTTTTCAAAAGTGAGTGTCTCAGGAAATTTTAGGTGCTCACGAGTATGTGCAGGTTTTTTTGAAGACCACCATTAGTCTGCAATTTCAGAATCCTTATCAAGAATAGAAACAACTAGTGGGCTGTGCCCCCTGCTCTCTAACTCTCGCCAACCCCCGAAAATTGCTACGCAATCTTACATAGTTTGCTTCACAAACCAAGCTCGCTTCGCTCGCTACTAATTTAGGTACATTGCAAGTGCACACAATTCTCTTTTTCATCAAAAAATTTTATCTTTTTAGTAAATACTAAGTCATTAAAATAAATTTGAATTCAAATAAATGACATGTAATTCGTTAAACATATTAGAAATGTGCTATAGTATAAAATCTTAAAGCGTGACAGCACGACTGAGATTCATTTTTCAATGAATAACTAATAACAATAATAAAACAAATAAATTCGCGATATAAATCAAAAATCATCAAATAAATTCGTAATATATAAATTCGTGAAAAATCGACAAAGCCTACTCACTTCTGCCTAGCTTAATAGTATGAGATTGTCGCAGCTGATAGGGTGAATTTCGGAAGAGATCACATTTTATGAGAATGCTCTCTCTGGTTATTTCAGTTTCCGTTTTTAAAAGCGCTATATGTTGAGCCACCTCAGTTAGACTTGGCATGTGACATTTTTAGGGGCAATCATCGGTCGATTTTCTAGCGTTGCCATTCGGGGAGTTGTAATGAGGCTTTTTTGTCGCCGTGTAAGAGAAATATATATATATATATATAGATAAGAACCGCAAGAAAATTCAAGCGAGAAATATCAAAAACATTATTGATATCTGACAAAGGACAGTACAGAAAGGACTTAATAAATACCAAAACAGGTTTTACCTAAGTTTAAAACTTAGAGGTGTTACAACTATTCATCTTTTAACTTCTGTTTCCTAGTGCGATCAAATCTGTCTCATTGTTTATTGTATGTTCGTAGTCTTCCTGTACTGTGAGTTATGAGATTTTGATAACGTTTTTGATGTTTCCTTGCGTAAATTATATTTTGCGACCCAAATGCGCATATTTGTTTATTTTTATTTTTAATAAGAAGTCTAAAATTGCATGATAAGGGAGCTCTTTGCAAACTGCATACACGATCCTTCTTAACCTTCTAGAACTAAAATCTTCGATCCTTTAAGAACGAACTGATTTGCTTATAAGCGGCATATTCATATTGTTCATATTGTTGGCAACTTTGAAAGATGCATTTCAAATAGGATTGTGTTCCTATTGTTGACAATTTTGAAAAAGATGTTTAAAATAGAATCGTTGACAACTTTGAACAAAAGATGTTTAAAATAGAATCTTGACAACTTTGAACAAAAGATGTTATTCATATCGTTAATAGTTTTGAAAGAGATATTTAAAAAGGATACTCTTCTTATCGATAACAAGTTTAAAAAGGATATTTGAAATGGGATTCTGTTCATATTGTCGACAACTTTGAAAGAGATTTATTGAACAGGATCAAGTTCGTATTGTTGACAATTTTGAAAGAAATGTTTTAAGTAGGATCATACTCATACCATCGACAGCTTTTAAGGTTGTTTTTCGAAGGCACTGTAATTTCATGAAATTATGCGATTTTGCGAATAATATGCTATTTTCACAACTTATGTGAGTTTGTATCCAACTGTTGTTGATTTGACTGTTAGGTCAAGTTTACCCTATCTATAGCTTGCGACTACTATGTGTATTCTTGAAATGGCGCAAAACATTAAAAAATGTAATATAAATAGCAGTTATGAAAATATCAATGCTATTTTCATAACTGCTGTGAGTTTGCAAGCGTTATTTATGACTGTTAGGTCAAGTTTAGCCTATCTATGCTTATTTTGAAAATGGCGCAAAACGTCAATATGGAGAAAAGCCACAGTTTTGAGAAAATGAAAAGCATTTGTGATCAAATTTTTTAATATTTAAAAACTTACATTAATACTGTATTATCTGGACTCATTAAAATTTGTAGAAAATTGGAACAAGGCATTGATTTTGATAATTTTCATCAAGGTAGAAAAAACTAATTAAGTTTGCGATTTTTTAAAAAAAGTTTAGTAACTTCTAAATTATTTAAGTTGTTTGTATGTTTTAAAACCCAAATTATTCTTTACAGCAAGATAGCTTGCAAAGTCTAAAATTATGACTTGGCTTCAAGTGTAAAGCATTTGAACTGTGGCTTTTTTATTTTCCTTGCTGAAAGAGATTCGAAAAACTTTATAAAAGAGATATTTTATAAAGGGTAGTGTTCATATCATCGATAGACCACCTTAACAGTTAACAAACAAGCATTGACAAGAGAGTAAGAAAATTACACTGATGGATATTTAAATACAATTGCGAAAAATAAATGAAGATTCTTATTATACCCTCAAAAAAAGGTTTTCCTTCTGTACAGAAGTCAGTTAGCACATCGTCTGCTTTTTTAGCTGCATCTGCAAATGGTTTCTTGCATTCGGTTGCCGCAACAGACACACACCCCGTGAGAAATGGTTGAAGCCTGAAAAATGATTAAATTGATGCCTGAAAAATGATTAATTCTATTTTTTTATAACTTGATTTCCACTTAAAAATATTTTTCCTTAAAATCGTTAGAGATGGAACGTAATTTCTCTTCACAACATTAACATTAATAGACATAGGTAAAAAAAATTATAAGACATATTTAAAAAATAGTATTTTAAGAACATTTTGCATAGAGGAACAATTATTAATATCAGCAACTTGAAAAACATCAAGGAAAACATTTAAGTATATTAGCCATTTAAAAATTGATTGTACTGTATGTTGTCTTGAATTGTGATAGATACTTGCCAACTACTGGCGGCTGTGTATTGTGCAAAGCGATAACACTGAATATTAAATCCCATAAGAGTAATAACATTTTTAGAATCTGTCGTGCTATAAAAAATCAACTTAAGTGGCAGAAATTCGTAATTGCGATTTGTTTTATATATGTGGCATTTTTGTAAGAATATGTAAAACGGCAACATTCATAATATATATTTCGGTTGGTTGGTTGTAATACCACTTGCCACACGGGCAAGCCTGCTTGGTGAAACCGAGCAAATTTAAGGCAGAGTGTGCGATTCTTGGTTTTCAGTGGCGCCATCTATGGCTAAGAATTCGACTTCGCCACACCATACGTCACACTTGTTTATAAGGCGGATCCATTCATACATCTATTCATTCATTCACAGATCGTAATTTTGACCTGGATCAGAGAACTATCGATCTCCAATCCAGTACCCCCAGAGACTTTGATTTGTTATGGAAACATGGAGGACTTTGCGACTCGACAGAATTTTAACGTGTATCAGTCACCAACTACACGGGGAGTCTTCGGCCGACGGGGGTTCGAACCCACGAACTCTTGGACATGGGCCCATCGCCCTACCGACCGGGCTATCCGGGTCGGTAGGGTCTATATTTTGAATAATATTTGCAGATATTTCGCATAATTGCAAAAAAAAAATTCATTGAGTAATATATTTTTTAATCAGCTTTCTGAAATTTTTATTCCAGCGTAGCATGAAATAGCATTAGCAAGGAAAAGAAAATAGTTGTCAAGCTACTTTTCTCAAAATTTATAACTTACTCTGTTTTTTTCAATTGCACGGCAATGCTCCGTGTAATGTACAATGCCATCTTATAGAAACCTTTGTCAGGAGTTTCGAAAATTGCTTATACAATTTTTGTAGTTTTCGATATCAATGCACGATTTATATGAGTTTTTAATTTTCAATATTTTTATCAATATTTAATATTGAATTTGGGTACTTTTACTACGTAGAAAAAGGTACTACGCGTATATTATGAAAAACAACATGAATAAAGCACATATAAAGGCACAAAAAAAAATGTCAAGATAAAAATGGAAGGCTATAATTTCCGTTCCCTTTCTCAGTGTTGAAACATAAAATGACAGAAAAAAGTAACAAGACAAACATGTTGCAAAAAGGAAAAAAAAAGTGGGTTAATCAATAGAGGAAGCAGAACAATCGTTTATTCGTATTTTTCAAGTGGTACCTTTCTAGTGTTGGGTTGGTACCGCAGGGTGTAAACTATAGAAGATATTTCCATAGGAAAGAATGGGATATTCGAAATACCATAAACTAAATTATAGGAATTGTCGAAAAGTACTGAATGATTCCCAGAAGTCAAAGTCCGTAGATGAAGATCAGTGATAGCATGATTTTAGCAGAAAAATATTGAAACCTATGAAATTGAGCTTCATCAATGTGGGGCGATGCAAGATCTTTAAAAACCCTGATTTTGGACCCATTTTCGTGAATTATTTTTCACATCAATCAGGGTATTCGCTTTTTTATTTTAAACATTGTACATTAACAAACTTTTATCAAGTGACGCAATTCGTTCCAAACGACTTTAGTGTTATTAGATAATTGAAATAAAAAAAAATTAAAAGACGTTGATTTTTGTTTATTCAATCTGATGGGCCACGATATTTCACCAAGTTAAGCAATTAGTATTTCATTTTAATTTTTGTCGTTTATTGCGCGATTTGTGCAGCAAAATGCTTTAATTTAAGTGCCAAATTGTGATATTTTTTTTCCATATCAAAAATTAAAAACAGGGATATAGAATTTAAGCTTTGAAATTGTTTCTATCCTAATCTCGGGAGACTCGAGATTGGGGGTTCGAGTCTGGTATCATGTTAGACAGATCTTTGGAAAGCATTTCACGCGTGTAGTTTTAGATTTTTGACACGAAGCGATATTTGAGAGGTTTTGAGATTTTTAAATGCTGTAGATTCATGTTCGAATAATGCTGAACACAGCGCCATCTATGAATGAAGCTACATTTAGAATAGGTTAAACTAATGTAAAATTTTCTGTAGAATCTGATTCTGCCATGAAAAATTATGGTTCTGAATTAAGATCTCAAGTTTGCACGCTACCCCATAGTATTGCAAGATAGCATTCAATAAATATTGAACTCATCTCTTTTATAACGTTCTATTTTTATTATGTTCTGATGTAGTTTGAGATATTTGACCGTTTTTTTTACCTCTTTTCTTCGTATTTTAAAACAGTCTAATAGAGTAAAAGTGATATATAAGTGTGTTACTTACCCACAATAACTCATATCTTTTATATGATCAGTCTCGTTATGGCATTTTGAAAGCGACTCTTTGAAGCATTCTATGTCGCACGTGGCCAGGCCAAACAACACTGTAAAATTATGCGTATCGTAAGTCAGATCAATTTTTTAAAGATTTAATAGCACGATTTTCCACTCCCAACATAGTTCTTAAGCAAAAGAAAAAAAAATGCTAAGACAGTTGAATAACTAATTACCGTTCAGTGTATTTGAGTTGATTGAGCTTAAAGTTAGGTACAATATTAGTAAATAGTAATATAAGTAAATTATAATAATTGTATTTTTGAATATTTTTTTATACTGACTAGGTGGCTCCGCTATTTTGCTCACTCCGCTCAACAACCCCAGCATTGATTCTCATTCATCATAGCTTATTTCTTCTTAAGCGTCATAAGTTTGCACGAAAAGCACGGAACATTTTAGTTTCAAAATATACAAATATTTTAAAACATTTTGTTTTTCGTAACGAAATGGAGGATTACCTAGATTATAAAAATAATCATCTGTTCTATAACAAAAAACTAAACTGAAGAATACAGATTGTGATCCACAATAGAAAGAAATTATTTAACTCGTTGAAGGGATTTATCACAATTGAAATAGGGAATAATTTTTGTGGCTATTTACAATACTTTATTTTATTATTTTTATTTTCAAAACTTGCACTAGTAATGTTAAGATTCAAATCTGGACAGATGTAATCTCTCTCTCATTACTTAAGATTGATATCTACTTGAGTACGAGCTCATAAAATAAAAAAATAAAATAGATTGAAGGAAAAAAAATTTCAACAATTGATGAATAATCTATATGTAAAGTAAAGAAAATGAAAAAAAAAATCACAGAAAAGCATTTAAATTTACAAAATCTTTAGAACAAATGAGAATTTTGAAAAAAAAAAATGAAACTATCCTTAAAATTCTATTACAAAATTGTCTTATCTGCATATCAAATTCCAACTCAGCAGTTGCATTTCAGCAGACAGTAGATTGACAGCATGATTTGTTTAACTATAAGGTGTTTTTTTCATCACGTTTAACAGTTCTACTATTAAATATCTTCTATAATTTTTTTATTCCATCATAATTCCTGTAAACTTTTTTTACCCACTTTCGTAAAAAATATATAGCCAATTCCTTCATTTTAAGAGTACATAAAATGACCACAATTCGCATGTTTTTTTTTTCTTTTTCTTTTTTGTAAATTGAAATTTTGGTTTAACTTTTATCTGTAGAGCAAGGGGAAAAACACGATGCCTTTCCTTATTTCTGGACATTCTTAAATTCTTCTAATTGGGAGCAATATTTCAGTTCCCTCTTCCAGAATATGTACTTTGCTTTCAATCAATCTGTACATGTGCCACCTAATGAAATCGGCACTAAACCTCAGGACAACCAGATGTAATACAATCTCATTGCGAGACAAAACGAAGAAAATCATCACTAATCATTACAAAACGAAAATAAATAGGATATTTTATCCATGTCAACTTCCAGGAGAAAAATAACGACGTAAAATAAAGCGATTAAAAGTTAAAAAGGTTCAGTAAATTAAACTAGGGTCTTTTATAATGATCCCGCACTTAACGAGATATCGGATTTAATGGTTAAAATAGAGTCTTGTTTGGTACAAAGTTACAATGACTGTGTTCCCTTGAGAAAGTTTTTTTTCTCTCCTCTTTTTCTCAGATTTAAGGCGATAAATAATTTATAAAGTATTAAATGATATCAGAAATTATTTAAAAGACTTTTCGAAATTGAAAAATATAGCATATTATCAATAGTTTAAAATTATTAAGTGTCTCAGTATATAATTAAGTTGAAAATGGCTTAGTTCTAGTTAAGGTATCGTCGATCCAGTTAAGATTATAGATTCCAGTAGGGCATCCGTTCCCAAACGGAGTTCCGCGTAGAAGATGTAAAGGAGTTCCATGAGTTAGTACTTTTTAAAACCAGTGATGAATTTTAAAACCTCAGATTATACTTACAATTCCTTTTTAATTTAATCTTTCAGTTGCCTTTATGAAATTATTTCAAGTAAAATACCAATGAAATAGAAATGACATTTTTTAAAAGAAAATTTATTTTTAATAACAAAATATTGAAAAAATTATTAAAAGAATAAGCAATTATAAAATATTGTATTAGTATTTCCTATCGCGCTCTTCAAAACAAATTAAAATTATTAAATTTTTTAATAAAGAAATCCTATTAACCATTTTTTACGTTTATATCAGTTCCTTAAAGTTTTCATCTCGTAAATCATGATTAGGCCTATTTTGTTTAAGTTAAGCTTATGTATATACATTAAAAACAAATTAATAATTAGACTAGATATAACACACGTAGTGAAAATTTAACTGTGGGTTATAAAACCTAATTTAAGATTATTAATGATAAAACGATAAAAATCTTCATTCCCCCAATTAACTATTTTAAAAAACAGTCTTTTATAGCTCATAACGTTTACAATAACCTTATATACTTAATTAATTAAGTCAGAGATTCGCCAAAAAAAGTTGGCTATTTAGGTTTCCGAAGGCGAAAAAAATTGGAAACCTCTGAGGTAGGATATCGTCGTGGGCGTGGTAAGAGCAGAGGAACATTTTTCTCTCTAGGGAACTCCTAATTAAATATGGAGCTTACTGTATAACAAAAAAATTCAACCGAAAAAAATGTATGAATGCATTATTATAATAGTTTAACTTACCGCAAAAAATGATTTTCCTTATCCAGTGCATGATTAAATTAAATTGATACTACACATATTTTACGTCGGACGAAAAAAGTTGGTTATTTAAGGTTCCGTATCATAATAATTGGGAACCTTTGAGGTAGAATATTGTCGTGGAAATGGTAAAAGCAGGAAAATATTTTTCTCCCCAGGGAGCTCCTTATTAAATGTGGAGCTTACTGAATAACAAAAAAATTAAACCGAAAAAAATGTATGAATGCATTATTATAATTCTTTAACTTACCACAAAAAGTGATTTTCCTTATCTAGTGTATCATTAAATTAAAGTGATACTACACATATTTTATGTCGGACGAAAAAAGTTGATTATTTAGGGTTCCGTAGCATAAAAATTGGGTACCCCAGAGGTAGGATATTGTCGTGGATATGGTAAAAGCAGGAAAACATTTTTCTCCCCAGGGAACTCCTTATTAAATGTGGAGCTTACTGAATAACAAAAAAATTTAACCGAAAAAAATGCATGAATACATTATTATAATAGTTTAACTTACCACAAAATATGATTTTCCTTATCCAGTGCATGATTAAATTAAAGTGATGCTACAGATATTTTATGTCGATTTATATTGCATTGTTCCAAAAAATCTACAGGTGCTTTTATCTTGACATAAGTATGTCAGAATATTTTCAAAACACATGTCCATAGAAGAACTCAATTAAAATGTAAGACATTTTTATAAAAAAAGGATAAAGAGATAAGAATTTTGATGCAATATGCATTCGATGTAATTGACAGCTTAGCTTTCAGAATATCATATTTGCTTCTATCACAAATGTGCCGAAATCTAAGGACGAAGTATCACAATTTATAAATACAGAGTGTTTCAGCTTTGGTAGACGTGGGCGTTGTTTTGTCTTCTTGTAATTATTTGTAGTTCAGTTGTAATATTTGTCAAATAAAAACATTTGAATCAAATTCCAGAAATGTTCCTCAGTTTATGAAACAAAAGTTACAATAATTGTAAAAAACTCAAATTTAACACAAAATGAAGATTGAAACTATTTTAACAGAAGGTTTCATAAATAACTGATATAAGTATTTATTTCTATATAAGTTTTTTTTTTCCAATGCCTACATATGATTCTAAAATTTATATATTAGGGGGACCGGAAATTAATGTCGTTTCGCTGCATTTCATATTTCTTATCAATATTTTATTCTTAATCAATAATGTATTCACCCTCGTTAGCTACACCCTTTCAATGCCAGATCGAAAATGAATCGAAAAAAATGAATTGGTTTTTAAGACTAACGAATATTTAATGCGCTGAAGCGACATTATTTTCCAGTACCCCTAATACTATACTGTGCGTTTTTTGTAACGAATTTTTTTAGAGTCCTAGTGAAAGATAAAGCAAACAAGATTTGGTATATTAATGATTAGATGAATAAAAAAAACAAGCCATCGAAATCTGACAAATCTCTATGGAATAATAAGGATTAAAAAATATTAAGGTTAAACCTGGTAATCAAAGGATTAATCCACACTGATTGTAACTTCAAATTGTTTAGGTCGTAAGCTAAACTATGATTATCATCCTTAGGAACAAATTACCCGTCTGTGAGGTGGTTTTTCAATCCAAATGAAGGTCGTACACATCACAAAAAAAGAAAGACATTATTTGACGCAAATGGAAAAATAATTAAGGGACCTTTCAAACCATTAGATTTTTCATAGAATATTTCTGAATATAAATTAAGGAAAATTTATGTTTGCTGTTTAGCATAGATTTTGTATCAATAAATAGTTTTTTTAAAACAATTACAACAATTATATTACCGATTTAGGAGGTAATTTGCACACAAGTTAGATTTTTAGTGCTATAAAATATTTTTGTTTCTATTTTTGTTTTCTATATTTTGCTAATCACATCGGAAATTATTAGTTTTTCTGATTAATTAATTTTTCTGAAAGTTTCATAATTCATTCAAAGTTCATTTCAAAGTTTCGTAATTTTTCATAAGTTTCATCTAATGATTGCTAAGGATGATGTTGTTGAAAAATAATTATTGTAAAACAATTTTTGGGGGTTTGAGGGGCGTGAAATGAATACTTTTTTCGGAGGGAATTTGGAATGCGTCAAAAGTTATTTTTGTTTTATTATTCTTCTCAAACACTGCTAAAGTAGAACAAATTTAAGTCTTGTGCAGATTTATTTTTCAATTATCATCCGTCGATAGATTTAAAATAGCTTCTGTTGATATTTGAGACAGTAGAGTTAATTTTAGTATTTTTTATTATTACATGTATTTTTATCCAAATCTCTAGAATTTATCGTTAGAAAACCCTTCAATTTAAAATTAAGCAAAACAATTTATGAAATTAGAGAAATTTCACATTAGTGTGAATAAAAAAATAAAAAAACTTAATAAATTTTCTCTTTTATGGTCTTGTTCTTCACCAAAACTTATACTATCCGTACAAAAGTACCTGATACCCGTGGCAGCATAGTTGTGTGAGGGTGCTTTCCAGTGCTTTCTTGGGTCCCTTAGCTCCTGAAGTTGAAAACATGAATTCAGAGATGTTCATGTTTTCAACGGACACTCTAGCTGTCCGTGTTTCCTAAAAACTAATTTATCTGCACCAAAGTACCAGACACCCATGAAAGCATAGTTGTGTGGTGATATTTTCCAGTGTTTTTTCTGGGCCTCTCAGTTTCCGAGGTTGAAAACAAGAACTCAGAGATTGCATGTGGACATTCTGGACAATGTTTGTGCCCCCTAAAAACTAATCCTACTTGTACAAAAGTATCAGACACCCATGGTAGCATAATTGTGTGGGGATTTTTCCAGCGTTTTTCCAGGGTCCCTTAGTTCTTGAAGTTAAAAAACACAACTCAGAGATGTATGTGGACATTCTGGATAATGTTCGTGTCCTTTAAAAACTGATAATGTACAAAAGTACCAGACACCCACGTGGGACGTTTTTCCTGGGCCCCTTAGTTCCTGAGGTTAAGAACGTAATAAGAGGTGAAGTGCATAACCAACCAAATAAACCATCCTCACTACCAGAACTTGCTTCAGCTGTGAAAGACACCTGGCCACATCAAAAACTGGTGGAAAGTCAAAGGAAAGAAGTCAGAGATGTATGAGGACATTTTGAACAATTCTGTCTTCTCAATTGTATGGCAATATTTTGGAACAAGGCTCTTTCCTCTTTGATTGTTCCATTTACCCATCGAGACTTGCGCAGCTACGATTTAACAAAAGGAGTGTTTCAACACTAGTTTGGCTTTCTAGGGAACCTGACTTAAATCTCATAGAGTAACTTGGAGGAGAATTTGAATGCAGATTACGTAACCGGCTAAATTGACCATCCGCCTTACCAGAACTTACCTCAGCTGTGATGGACATTTTGTATTCAATTCCTATGGCCACCTATCAAAAAATGGTGGAAAGAATATGTGCAATCTCTCATCGATGAAAAAGTAAATTAACATCATATGTTGGTTTCCTTCTTTATTGATGCACGCGTCAAGACACTTCTTACAATTGGGAGTCCGGATACTTTCGTCAAGTTAAAAAAGAACAGAATATTATAACTGAATATTGTAATGTGAAGAATTTTATAAGAACACAACTAAGACAAAATCTTTTATTTAGATAGTTTGGTACACATTTTAGTTTTCAGAAAACAACTCATGTACTTAATTCTTTTTCCACATTTCTTATGATGAAGGCATTAAGTCGCATATTTTCTTCATTAAGTGAATTTGACTTCCAAAGAAAGCACGAAATACCTTTTGTGTTGCTGGCCGACAAGTTTCAAATTTGCGAAACATGCATTTTCGCACAGTTTCTACGTATTCAAAACTGTAATAAATAAATAATTATTAAAAACTTTGTGATAATTTTACTAATTAATAAGACAAAATTTTATTAAAAAATATTTACGAAAAATTTGGGATTGAAAAAAAAATTACACTCTAAAAAATTCCAGATCAAATCGCAATGTAAAGTACCGGCAGTTTGGGTGCATCATCCGTAAAAATTCATTATACCGTGAAATCTATTTTTACCGTAATTTTTGCAGTAATAAGTCTCGTAAGATATTCCGATGAACATGAATTTGAAAATTCATGTAAAAATGAACCAGCATCTTAAATGCCCCGATACTTTTTACCGTAATTTGATCCAGAAACCTTATACAGTGACTTCAAATTCTATTTAGAATAAAATGTTTAGTTTGAAAATGTATTAAATTTCGAAATTTCCTACAGATGTTCTAATATTTTATATTAAATAAATTTCAGAAAATCTGAGGAAATATAAGTTGAGTTTTTAAAAGTTAAAAGATTAAGATTTTCTAAAGAGCGTTTTAAAAGTTTAGGTTACTGCTGATGTTATGTTAATGAAGAGTGTTTTAAAATCTTATATTATTATATGTTACATATGCCCCTTTTTATTACAGATTGTGCCTCATTCTCTTAAAAACATTTTCTAACAAAGCATCAAAGCTAATTATAGCTTTTAACAAGACTTCAAAGTTGAAAATAGCTTTTAACAAAGCTTCAAGACTTCAAATGTCGATGAGTGTTGAAAGTTGAGAATAGTTTTTTACGAAATTTCGAAGTTGAGAATAGTTTTATATAAAGCTTCAAAGTTGAGAATAATTTTTATCAAAGCTCCAAAGTTAAGAAGACTAATTTTTTTTACAAAATTTCAAAGTTCAGAATAGTTTTTAGTGAAGTTTTTAACCCTTTGACTACGAATTTAAAAACATGATTTTTTTGTTCAGTTTATAATTCAAAAGGACAAAATAGGTCACAATTAAGGCAAATTTAGTATTTGGGATTTTTTTGACAAGCGGTTATCAATTTAGAGACTGTGACATATATGTCCCGGCCGTACTTAATGGTGGGATACATATGTCCCACCTGTAGAGATCGACTTAAATTTTCCGGAAAAATTTATTCTATGGACTTTTTCTTTACATGGTATGATACAGGGTGAAGCAATCTTTGCATTACCCGGCATTACACATTGAACAACTCATATTTGATCTTTTTTCTATGTTCATTTGAGAAAATATGAATAAAATATGAATGAACATAACAATCCCAATGAAGAAGACGAGTGGGATATATCTGTCCCAATGAAGAATACTAGTGGGATATATCTGTCCCAACGCAAAATCATAATGCTATTTCATGCAAGAAACTCTTTAGCGCCATCTAGTGGATATTTGACCCATGAAACACGTATATTTGGTTCGACTCTACGACTGGGACATATTACAATGACTTTCTATGTGCTTTTCACCCCATTAGTAATTTTTAAACATTTGTTAGGACAAATGAGTCCCGTTAGTGGTCAGAGGGTTAATTTGAGAATAATTTTTAACAAAGTTTCAAAGATAAAAGCTTCCAACATATTTTCAAAACTTATGGAAAGTTTGAAAATATTTTTAACAGAATTTAAAAAAATTCTTCAGAATTAAAAGTGTTTTTAACACAGTTTTAAATCTACAGAAGTTTACAACAAATCATTCAAGTTTTAAAGCACACTGCTCCACAGTTACAGAAGCCACAGTTGCTTCTCTCAAAAAACTCTCACTGTTGCAAACTGTTGCAAATCTCTCAAGTGAAAAAAAAGCTTATACATACTTGCAAGATACATCTTTAGGATTCATTATTTGAGGTTGTTCAAGAACGCCGTGGCATCCCTCTGAGTCCATCATTGTTTCAATTGAACATTTTGGATCATTCTTTAATGCTAAAAAATAAGAATGAAATAATTGCATTGCAATCAGTTTAAAAATGCTATGAAATTATTGAGTTCACAACAAAATTAAAAATAACGCAAAATTTTAATAACTGAACTGAAAGTTTTTTATTTTTTTATTTCCAATGAGCTGCACTATCGGTCTTGCCGATGAGCAGACCTAGTGCGTTCTCCAGAGGTGGTATCCACTCTTTCAGGACCACCACAATGGGTGAGATACCGTTGGTCATGTTAATTTGGACGTCTAGTTTCTGCCACACTATATGGCAGCACCGGGATTCTATTTGGATGCTAAAGCGCACTAGGAGTTTAATTGTGCCGGAAATGCCAAGAAGGCACTCCAGGGATCTTTTACATGCCACATAATCATACGATATGGCAGCTGAGGATTTTCTGCATACCGAAAATCCGGGGATCAAACCCGTAGACTTGGGCTCAGAAGGCCGACGACAAACCCACTGCGCCACCCAGCCACACTGAATTGAAAGTAAATAAATAAAAATAACTGAGCTTAAACAAAAATCAGAACAATACTCCTCATTCAATAAATCAATGTATAAAAACAGATCAAGCATAATATTTTTTGAAAAGTTTCAGAAAATACAAAACGGTAAGATTTAAAAAATATAATAAAATAATTTCCTGTAGAGATGTAGACATAGGATAAGATGATTTTTAGGTAGCCAGGGGTATAAGGAAGGGGTACAAATTGAGTGATTTGACTCTTTCACGTAGCAGTATGTACATTCACGTACGTATGCTATACGTAGGCTCAGTAGAAGACAGAGATGGTTTCGTAGTCACCATGCTGCGCATAATATATGTGCATAAATATGCGGATGCTACTAGAAAGTGCTAAGTCTCTCCGTAATCTTTTTATCATTTTTATATGACGCAGACAACGTGAAAGAGGAACATTCTTAAATCGATTTAATCCGAGAGATTCAGCACTTTCTCGCAAGTATGCCCTACGATAGCTCTGTAAAGAACAGAAACTGTTTTTAAGTTACTGGGCTACGCAAACATGCAAAATATTGCGTTAAAGTCTTAAATCGTTCTATTACCTTTCAAATGCCTTTAATAATGATTAAAAATACGATTTCTTTGAACAACGGATAACTAAGATCCTTCAGAAATTATGAATGTACTAATGAGGAAAAATCACGGTAAGAAAAAAAAAAGTTGGCATTGTACGTATCGGTCATGAAAAAATGGTGAATTTGAGCAGGCAAGTACATAAAACATCGTGGGAAGTCTGCTGAAAGCCTCAATCTTTCGAGCTACCTCAAGTTCTACGGGATCATTTTTCTTCTTATCTAATCACCCCTACTACGACTATGAGAGTTGCCCAAAGAAAAAGTGGACAAACGTGATATAGTCAGAAATACAGTAATTGGATCTACGCTACACACCAGGGTTATAAATTACTGTAAGAGGGACGTATAACAAATTGCATATAACTGAATAATCAATTCACATGAGAGGATTTAAAGTGAATGTTAAATTGAGTTCAGATGGATGCATCCGGAACAGAACAACACGCAGAAGTATGATTTTTAGAAATAGAAAGAGAATACAATGCGATCATTTATCCTGGAAAGCTTAATCTTTACAGAGGACACTGTTTCTGTAAACGAATGATGGAAAAGTTCTTGTGAAGGGCGTGCATCAATATCACATCTCTTAAAATCAAGGGTAAACAAATTTTATGATCCCTCATGATTTTAGTGCTGTTGTTTGGTACTGATTGGTTGCTTGGTATGATGTTGTTTGGTTTGGTGTTGTTGGTATTCAAATATTACCTGATTGAAATCTTCATTCGTTTCGACTGTAATTTCACATTTGTGATTGAGAATCCAATGAAACTTCCAATTAGGTAATATCTTATCGTTTTAGTTTCTTGGAATTATTCATTTAGTAAATATTCAAAAAGTTACAAATCGTGATATTTGTGCTGCACTTAGTCTGAAATAAAAGAAGGAAGGGCGCAACCAGCTTCTGATACTAAAAATGATACCATTTAGAGCTGTTTAACAGAAATGGTATTAATGTATGCATTTCACAGAAATTTTTACACTGTTCGTTTACAGCTGTTTTTCCAGAACAATGCTATAAAAAGTAAATATTCGAACGATACATGTCCTCATTGCAATCACCATCTGATATAAAACTTTGCACTGATGCTCATTCTTCTGCTTTGGACACATCCACCTTAACACGACTTTACATTCATTTTAAATACTCACATGCAAATAGACACTGACTAATTAGTTACACGTAATCTGTGGTATACTCATACTTGTCTCTAAAAACCAGAATTAGAGTACCGCTATTACCGCTGCATTTCTGATACTATCTCACTTTTCTACTTTCTATTTGAGAAATATTTGTAGTTTAAAATTAGCCCTCTCGGGTCAATGCAATCTGTCACAGCAATCAATGCAATCTGTCAATACTATCTGTCTGTTTTTTTAAAAAAAGTATTAATCCCGTTTGAATTTAATCCACACTCAAGCTTTTTAAGCCTAACTTTGTACTTAATCGCAAATATTTAAATTTGAAATTTTTGAAAGAAATGAGCTTTTTGTATTTTCTGTCAAAATTTCTTCTGTAAAGTACAAGTAAGGTGAATAGCGTTTCGAAACAAATATGTAATGTTTTCCATAAAGTATTATAATATACGTATAAATAAAGTATTATATATACATATTTTAAAGTATTGTTATATATTTTATTTTATTACCGTCGTTGTCAAAAGCCGACCCAATTTTGAGTGTACAAGTACCTATGTTCAACTCTGCAACCTTATAATTTTGAACCCAATTCAGAAGACAAAGACGCTCCTGGATCGAGTATTGATAGAAATTTGCCATCGTGGATGACTTTTTGTGATGGAACTAACCCGCATTTGCGTTGTGCGGAAAACCACGATAAGCCTGACGGCAAGGGGATTCTAACTCATGATCTGTCTACCAATGTGGATATTTTACGTCAGCACTTTTTTTGGTGCAAGTCAGGTGCGGAATTCGTATCGACGAGCCATCGCTTCGATTCGAACTCGGTTCACCTCATTGGAAGGCGAACGCTCTATCCTCTGAACCACGGCTCAAGATACGTATTATGTAGCAGTTGGGCATATATAATTAATTAATAATTTTTCACCTTGGTTGGATGGAGTTCCTTCAGTGCAGATGTCTGTTTGAATTGAAAAAGCCATGCGCGCCACATCTTCAAATCCAGTTTTGCATTCTTCAGCTGCTTCGACGATGCATCCCGAAAAAGGAGGTGATAATCTAAGTAGAATCGTATTGATTATAAAATTAGGTAGAAGTGTTTTCAGTCTCATTACAAAATGTTTTTTTAAATTAAAAAAAATAGCAATGGAATTTCTTAAGTTAAAATAAACTATACTGTTTTGAAATCTTCATATTATGCGTAGGTAAAGAGTTACGATAAAACAGTTTCAAAATTGGGTACTTGTACTTCAAGAAGAAGATCACAGATACCCTGACACGTGACATATGATGTCAGCACCAGCTGATCTTTTATATACAAAATGGTCAAATTTCTTCACATAAGTTAGAATGTTAATTAACGTGAAGTTAATTTACAGCACAGATTCAAACATCGAATTTGTTGAAATATAATTCTTTTTCGTCTATGTCATTTATTTAAATTAGATTTATTATTTGTTTATGCATTTTATTGTAACCGTGATATATTTTTGTTTCGTGTGTCTGGCTACTTCGATTCATAATTTGTTTGTTTATGTTATACATGGCTTCGTGCCTATCTTTGTGTTAAGTAAAAAATATATTGTGAAAAATTGAAATCTTTGGAAAAGAACCTTTGTGAAAGTATATAAAGTGAGCCACGTGGAGAATTGATAATTGGCAGGCTTGACTTACCCGAACTAGAATGGAAAGAGCAGTTGCTAACTTAAACAAATACCACCGTTTCAGGAAGTAAAGCTATCACAATAAAATATAAGCAACTAACCACAACAACATTTTGTTTTTATCACTTTTTCTTACACGAAAATGCCAATCTAAAATTTCAGGTACTTTCTTGAAATTTGAATTTACAGTTATTCTGATTGAACAGCAGTTAACAGCAGTCTTTGAAGAAATATGCAACTAATAGAATGCAATAATTTGAGTATGCATTACATCGTAATTTCTGAACCGATAACCTTCTAAAGCAATCAATTGTTCTCCCGGTCAAATGACTGGTTGTGGTAGAAATAGGTGTACGACGAGTATTATTCGAAACAAGCAAAATACAAAAAAATAATAATTAAATATAAACTGTATATAATTGTAAGAAAAAGTGTTGAAGTCAAATGTGCAAAAACGATAAGATGATAAGCGCGTTTTCGTTGCAAAAGTTCTTAAACGGTCATTTGACCGGTTATGGTCAGGGTTAAAGAGAATAGAAGGGCTGGTTCACTCCTTTGAAGTAACTCTAGCCGCACCAATCCTCCGATTTTCTCTAGTGACGTCACTCTAGTGACGTCTAGTGGCGCAAAGCTCGCACTTTTACTTCAAGAACGGAGCGTTCGGCCTTACTAGCTCTAACTAATATTAGATAATTTATTTTTGCGAGATATTCTAAGAGATTTGTTATTTTCTATAATGATTTTCCTCAGTTTTTGCAGTGAATTTACAAGAATTTAAAACTATCATCGAAATGGCAGTTTGCGCGAATTGCCAAAATTCTGATACAAAAACAAAAGGAAAAAATATAATTTTCCGCGTCTTCCCTAAAGTAAATGAACAACTATGTAAAGAATGGATTTCGAAAGGACACAGTTAATATTAAACAGCAATACGTTTATTCCGTCGTTAAGAACTTTTATAAAAATTCATTATCTAAATAGAAACCGCCTCGTTACTTCAAAAAGAAAGGCAGGTGAAAAAAATTAAAAAATGGATAAAGTCAAAGAAAATTAAAATGTAAATAAAAAGTATAAATAAAATATATAGTATATAGTTGAAATTCTCCTAATTTCATAACATATTTTTTAATGTAGTTATTCTAAATATTTATGATTTTTTTTAAAAATTATATTCTCTTCAATTTAAATATCTATAAATTATATCATCGTAAATTTAAATGTCTATAAACAATTGTAAAATTTCTAATGTCATTATGAACCTAAATTATTATTTTGTTTCAGTAATTAGCGTTTAAGGTTGATGTTTCCTAATGATTAAGTATGAACAAATTGCTATTAACGACATATTTTAAAATCAGGGATTCTAAATTTAACTTAACTTATCTTTATAAAAGAATATGTAGATAAAAAAAGTGTCGATATATGCCTTCATTTTTCTTAATAGTTAAAGTTAAAACTGAACTTTTTAAAATAAAGTATTTATCGTGTCATTTTCACCAACTAGCAAAACATTTTTATAAGTTTAAAATGGTATTTTTTTAATATAATAACCAAGAAAGTTTTTTTTGAACTATGTTTATGAACGGAAATAATGTGTTAATTACGTAAAGTTTGAAGGCTAATAACCAGAAAAAGTCTAACTTATTTTTACAAAGAGAAAGATGCAAAGTTATCATATCTTTGCTTGCGATCTCCGAGATCTGTGAACACAGTGACGTCATGAGGAGGGAAATCGTAGCTTCAGCTCTAAGAGCGGAGTGAACTAGCCCTTCTATTCTCTTTAGCCCTGGGTTATGGTATGTTTAGCGTTAAAGTTGAAGCAAATATACGCAGCAGTATGGTTCAACGTTTAACTGATCTTTTATGGTTCAAAGCTCCAATTCTTCACGTTAAGATTTCGTATGAATGACAAAATGTTATAACATTTTTCTTTGATGCAAAGTTACATGGAAAAGAAGTAACTATAATAATTAAGGAATACTCTTTATATTATGTTTACTCGTTAATGAATAATTCAATTGAACTTACTCGCAAAATGAGAAATCTTTTATTTTATGATTCAACATATAATCTGTTTCACAACTTGCTAACGTGCGATTGAAGCAGGCGAAGTCACATGCTACGAAACTTACCAACACTACAAAAAAAAAGAATGAAATTCAATAAATAATTAGAGATTTAAATTAAAAACAATAACTTAATGTAAAAATAGAATTATTCAAGAAACAAATGTCAATTCCAATAGATACACAGTTGAGAAAAAAGGGGTAGTTTGACAATAAGGAAAGTTTGCAAAAGCTCTTTTAATATTCAAGTACTTACTAGCTGATCAGTGGAAGCTATGTCATCTCTCCATTTGCAGTTAACAAATATAAAAAGAAATTTAATTATTTGTGTACTTTAGAGAACGCTAAAAGCTGGCATATTTAGTATTACTTGTATTTTCTATTTTTATGACATCGTAACAAATCAAAAATTGTGACAGACTATTGCCACTAAGGAAATAGAAAAAGTTTCATAAAATTTTAAAAGAAGGCTGAAGAAAAAAAAGCAAAACAGATGATAGAATTTTATTTACATAGATCAGTTTACTGCTTGATACTAAATTCATTTAATAATTCCAGTTCTGATTCGCTATTTTAATATTAAAAAAAACTGCAGATTTGAACTCCATAAAATAAGATTTATCCTGTATTTTGAATTCATTTTGACAACAACAACTGAGCATAGGAAAAAAAAGGTTAGAGGATGTGTTCACTAAATAGTTTTGCTTGATTTGCCGCTTAAAAATTTGCATAACTTCAAACGTATACTTTTTCTAAGCTAAGAACTCCTCCCGTCACAAAGTCTGAGGCCGTCTGGTGCTATGAAAACAAGAATGGTGCATTTTAGGCAGAGTAGCTTCACTCTAGGACTATAAAAAAAAGGACTCACTCCTAGGACTATAACTCAATAGACCGGGAAAGATTCCTTTTCTCTGGCCGACAGGATCCGAAACCACTCCAAAACAGTGAGCCCGCACCCCTATTTGAAATAGTCATACCTCGTTACCATAGTCACCGCCACAGGTCCAGACGAATGTCTGGAGGAGTTCTTATTTTAGACAAACTATAACTATTATTTATTAAAAAAAAGTCTACTTGGTAGAAAAGTCCCCTTTTAGAGAAAAAAGCGCATCAAGTTTAATGTGGTAAATTTTTTAACTCCTTCAGGGCCGAGATCACATAAATGTGATTGCTCGTGATCTCACTGTATCATATAAGAAACGAGTCTTTCTCACCCTAAAGACTCAAGATTAAACGGGAATGATCTAAGTGCAATACTTTATCTTGTATTAGTACATGTAAGTACTGTTTAATACGTATAAACTGTCGGTTCTGAGGAGGTTTGAAACACTGCAAAAATGAGTTTTAGTAGGTGGTTTGCCTATTCCTAACTGCTATGCACTGACTATGAATACTGGGACGATGTTTGATTGTCTGGGAAGTTATAATGTTGAATGACAGCATGACTTTTCAAGTCACTGTTACTGGCTTGAGTATAGATATGTGTTCTTAGATCCCTATTTTTGCTCTTATAAGGATTTCGCTGGTCCTGACTTATGGATGACAGTGTGTAACTACATCATTCTGAGGATTTTATGAAATGGGAAGATATTCACCAGTTAGATTAGCCAGCTGGATCTCCAGACTTGAATCTGACGGAGAACGTTTTTTTTTTAAATTTATTTTATAACCGTAGTTGAACAACCAACCCGAAATTCGAGTTTACGGCTGCTAATGTTCAACTCAGTCTTTTAATTTTGTACCCAATCTAGACGACGAAGGAACTCTTGTATCAAATATTGGGTGAAATTCGCCTTCGTGGAGGACTATTTGATTGAACTAACCCCATTGGCGTTACATGAAGAGGAAAATCACGTAAATCTCCTTCGGTTAGACTTACGGCAAGGAGATTCTAACCCATGGTCCGTCTATTACTGAGGATATTTTACGTCATCACTGTAGTCGGTGCAAGCCGGGTGCGGAATTCATAACAATCGACCATCGCTGGGATTCGAACCCGATTCGCCTCATTGGAAGGCGAACGCTCTATTCCTTGAGTCACTATGGCTCGATACAGAACGTTTGCGATTACCTCAGAAGTGTGTAACACGAAACAAGTAAGACAGAGTTGGGTACTTTGCACTTTTATCTTACCAGAAGCCCCTACATACCCTATAAGCAGCTATGTTAAACAACTCAGCATGCCTGCAAAATTTCATTGAATATATTTTGCTTATTTAATGCGATTAATTTAAGGAAAAAACTTCCCTTTACGCAAATGTAAACTGTCCCTTTGGAATCTGAGAACTTGCCTAATAAATGAAATATCCAAACATTAGACGTAACATGGATCGGGGTAATAAAAAAACAATGAATATAGGACCTTAGCTATCTGTAAATCTGCAAGCAGCGTGGAAACGAGCATCAGTAATGTTATGCACAACCTGAACAATGCCGTATAGGTTGCAGCTCTCAATTAATGATTACCGTTATGCCCTGCTACCTCCATTATGCCCTGCTACTCCATTTTTCCCACTTTTACGATATGGACAGAAAGAAGTTTATATGAATTGAAATTTCTCTCAACTATAATATATTATAAAAAAAATCAAATTGAAATTTAATATTATTTACAATATACTGTTTTAACGGATTTTTTTACATTTATAACTGATTTTTACATCCACTTTTACGATATGTACATAAAGAAGTTCATATGAATTAAAATTTCACTCAACTATAATATATTATAAAAAAATCAAAATGAAATTTAATATTATTTACAATATACTGTTTTAATTGATTTATTTGCAATATACTGTTTTAATTGATTTATTTGCAATATACTGTTTTTATACTGTTTTAATACACATACTGTTTTAATGGAGATAGTTGTAAAACAATGATCTAAACAATATATAGTCCCGCCTTAATGATCAACACAGCATAAATTTTTTATATATATATGAAAAAGCTTTTTTTAGTTTCTGAGTAAAATAAATGTTTATATTACTTACCACAAAGAACGATACAACTAAACAACTGCATGACGCAAAATTTTATGTTATACAGAACTGGATTTAGGAGAACTTTAGATGTTTTAAATAAATTAGATAGGAAAAGTGACATCTGTTGGTGTTTTTTTTTTATCAGTTAATGAAACTTTCAAACAGATATTACTTTTGATTGCAGGCAAATATAGAAAAGTATTGATTGCTCTATAATTTCAAAATTTATAGCAACAACGATTGTAAAAAGTTTATTTAGTTTTCAAATGAAATAAAGGACTTTTTACAAAGAAGTGAAAAACTTAAGAAGAAAATAATTCAGAATAAATAAATCGACAAAAAACCTTTTTAAAAGGATTTTAACATATCTTGGTTTTAGTACTATAACTAGACATTTATGAAACTTCAATGTAAAAAATCAAGTTTTAAGCATGTGTTGTTTCTTATTTTAAGAATTTGTGTTGCTCTGATACTTGCCGTTTGGTCCAACATACAGTTAGTGTAGGGTTTTCTAATCATAGCATTTCAAAGCTATAACTAATTAAAATAATTATAAAAATGTATTCATAACTCAGTATCGAAAAATATTAATTTAGTCAGTAATATTAATTTATCTACGATATGACAAGCAATTCCCTCCCAATTAAATACAATTTAGGGACAAATTAATTGTAGTTTTCTCAATACTTCACAGGCATACCGTCAACTGAGGTTATTTTTTCTTCATTCACTAGAGTAGCTCGGCAATTTTCTAAGAAAAGATTTGGGTGGAAAAAATCAGTAATTTATTGGTCTTTGATTGCTCAGCAAAAAATCAGGGGTTTTGGAAATAATGTTGGCAAGATTGAGACAAAATTATTTCTATTTAGCGATGGTTTTTCAGAGTGGAAATTATCAATTTTTTACAGTGACTTTTGATCAAGCAATTTTAGTACTTCAGCAACTTTAATCATTGAAACATTAATAATTAAGGGATATTGCTGGGATATATGATTGTGGAATTTTTATACCATAATTTTTATGCACTTATTACCCCATGTTCCATAAGATAAAAGGCGTTTCTTTGTCTACCCCTGACTCAGAGGGTCAAAGGGACTAACTGCACTGTAAAAAATTAAGGTACAAAGTACGGGCACTCGTAAAATCTATTTTTACCGGGATATGTACCAGAACAAAAAATCTGATCTACCGTAATTTTGGACAGTAATAATCACCGTAAAAATCACTGAATAACTCTAATTAAATACACCGAAGAGCCATTGCATTATGACCACCCTCTATCTATAACAATGGGCTCGCCCAGGTTTTCATGGTTTCTCACCCAGGAACAATGTTTTCATGGGGCACATTAGGACCCATAATCCTCATAGAACAATCCCTGACGTCTGTAAGCTACTTGAGCATGGTTGCAGACCAAGTTCACCCATTCATGGCAACAGTTTTTCCTGAGGGGGATGGTGTTTACTAACTGGATAATGCACCATGTCATAAGGGTCGAATCGTCATGTATTGGTTCGAGGAACATTCCAGTGATTTTCAAGTCATGTCTTGGTCCTCAAATTCACCTGACCTTAATCTAATGGAGCATTTGTGGTCCTACTTGAAAAACCAAACTCGTGCTGCCACGCTACCCCCTCGAAACGTGAGGGAATTGCCGGACCAGTTGGTGAGTGCTTGGTACCAGATACCTCAGACTACCTATCAGCACCTTGTGGAATCAATGCCATGACGGGTGCTAACAGTTTTGAGGGCTAAAGGTGGTCCTACATGTTATTAGCAGTGTGGTCATAATGGCTCTTCTGTGTAAATATTCTACTAACATTTACTGTATAATATTTCATGATATAATGGAAGTTTACGGATGATGCACCCAAAGTGCTCTTACTTTATATTTTAGTTTGGTGTAAAATTTTTACAGTGTAGTATGCAATGCAGATTCAAATATGGAAGAAGATGTTGATATTTCTATTCAAAAGCTTAATCGTTTCCAATGAAAAAAATAATGAACTCTTTGTTTTTATGCCTATCTCTGTTGTCACGTGTAGCTTATAAAACTAATTCTAAGTTTGAGTGGAATGCTTGACTGTGACCAGTCAATTTTGTGGGATTACTAAATATTAATCCAGAAATCCCGCAAAACCAAAAACAGAGCGACATAGCATTCCCTAGCTATGATAATATGATCTAGCTAAAAAAAACGTATTTTGTTTCCAAATGAGGGTTACATAATTCTACTTTTATAGTTGCGAGCACTTGGAAGTTAAAAAAGTCCGATTCAGTGGCTAAAATAATTAATTTGTTTTAAAAAATATTCAAAATATTCTTAAACGTGATTTTTTACTGCTTCTTCGACTTTGACAGCCGGGTCAGACAGGTTTGACAGGTTCGAATCCTAGCGATAGCTGGTCAATACGAATTCTGCACCAGGTTTGCACTGACCACAGTGCTCACACAAAATATCTTCAGTGGTACACGGATCATGGGTGAAAGTATCTTCCCATCAGGCAAACTATGGGAGGTTTTCGTGGTTTCCCTCTCCACGTAAAGTAAATGCGCGTTTCTTCTATCAAAGAGTCCACCACGTATTGTTCTCTAAATTACAAGGCTACGTAGTTTAACATTGGTAGTTGCAAACTCAAAATCGGGTCAGCAGCTCAACGACGGTTATAATTATATCTAGACTTTGACTTTGAAAAGTCCAATTTGTCGGCCAAAATAATTGCTTTTTTCTATAAAAAGAAGCTCAAACCAATCTTAAAAGTGATTTTCGACTTTCCCGCAATATCCGGAAAATAGCAAGCTGAAAGCTTACTTTAAAGAAGGATGCTCAACAGAATTAATGAGGGAACATTTTCTTTTGTTCCAAAATGAGACAAGAAAATTCCTGAACCTAAAATTATTGTGGACTATTCAGCAATTTAAAAGTTTCTAAGAACTTCAATGCGTCCCAAATCATTATTACGGTAAATATATTAATATCAATCTTTTAAATTGAATTATTAGACGCATATTTCATTATATTTGTGTGTTTACAAATTGTGTCTCAGTGTTGTATATAAGTTATTTTGCCATAGTTGTAAATTTTAATAATAATAGTTGGTTATGCATACACCCAAAATAAAACTCCTTAAAAATTTTATCTTTCAGCGCCGTAAAGAATCATTTTTCGTGACGTAAAATAAAGAAATAAAGTGAACTATAACTCATTTTCCGAATGATGGTTTTGCGTTAAACCATCTAAGGAACATATATAGTGAATTTTACTTTGTGACTTATTGTATGAAAACTGCGGGAAGTGAATTTTCAAATAAATAAATAAATTAATTAAATAAATAAAAAAAATGAATAAAACAAAAATAATTGAGTTTTTTTGTGCATTTTTAAGTCTATAAATTTTAAATGAATTAAATTTATGAAAACGGATCATACATAAACGTCATAAAAATTTGTGCATTTTGAAAAAAAAAATCATATCTTTCGGCAGAAAAACAAATTCGCCATTTTCAAAATAGCTCACTTATTGAAACACAAGATTTTTTTCTCCATTTTTATGGCAATAGTTATAAAAAGGTTAAGCCATAAAAATGGTTAAGATATATTAGCAGACAAATATTTAATAACTTCTAGCTTACAAGTTTTAAATTTTCGTGTAAGAAACGAGTATCAATTCATTCCAGTATCTTGATTTTTACCGTTTTATGGGTATTCTGTTCCACTGTGGTGTGGATAGAGAGTTTTGCTAGTGAAACTGAATGAAACCGCATCTCACTTATTATTCGAAAAATTTAAAAATCATCCTTTCATTTTCAAACTCCTGCCACCATTTGTGTTATCTTTTTAACTAAACAAAGCCTTTGCCTTGTGACAACCTTTGAAATAACTTTTGTTTCTATTTAGACTAATGTACTATTCTTCAGAACTATTCAATTATTAAACTTCCCAATTATTAATCCATTTATTATTATTTATTTTAACTATTTTACAATATTTTTACGTGATGTTCAGAATATTTCACCGGGCATTCAAGTTTCAAAACAGTTTTTCAAAGTATTTGGATTCTCTTCTTATTTACAAATCTAGCCATTTAGATATCTAGAGTATGGATTTGATATATAACTACGAATATATTTTAAATACAAGAAAAAAAAGCAATCCAAACATTTATATTATTTTTCAAATGCTTTAGCTTGAAAAAAATCCAGTTTTGAGCCTTCTTTTTACGTTAACAGGATAGATTTCTTTTAAAAAGTTTGATAGGTTTAAAATTTTTAAAATTTTCAATAATTTTTTTAAATAAGATAAGACAGAGTGTATTTTAGCCATCAGAAGGATATTCTGCATCCAGTTGTAGTATATAATAATTCCTCCGATTTATCACAATTGTTTTAGTGAAATTTTCCTCTATTTAAATTATTATATTATTAGAAATACGTTAGTCTGACTATTGAATTATCACCACAAATCAAAAATAAATATTTTGCGTTCAATCAGACAATCAGCCAGGTGCAGTGCTAATAAACACACGAGTAGTGTGAGGTTTAGAGGAATTTACTCAGTTCCTCCTAGAGGAAATTTACTCAATTCCTCCTAGAGGAAATTTACTCAATTCCTCCTAGAGGAAATTTACTCAATTCTTCCGAGAGGAAATTTATTCAATTCCTCCTAGAAGAAATTCACTCAATTCCTCCTAGAGGAAATTCACTCAATTCCTCCTAGAGGAAATTTACTCAATTCCTCCTAGAGGAAATTTACTCAATCCATTGTTCAGTGAAAATTTTATGAAATTCCTGATTCTATATCAACTGATGTGAGTATTTTTTTCCGTTATCGGTTGTAAACAAGAAATTTATTTAAAGAGAAGATTTCTCCTCTAGTGCTACTATGGGTCCATTACGGGTTTGTTGAACTAATTGTCTAATTAAGTATTTTTTTGTTGTTGCAAAATTAAGGAAGTGTTATTTTTTCACATTATACATGTGCTCAAAGAGATGCATATGTAAACATCTTCTTTTGCACATTTTCATCTGTGTTCGAATGTTTTTATGCTTGCAAAAAATCAATAGAATTTTAAAATGACATTTTGTTAACATCGAGGGAAAAGTGATAAACTTTTTGTATGTTACTTTAAAAAATTTATAACTTTACATTGTTTGTTAAACGTTAAATTCACATCGTATGTATGGTAGAAAAAAAATTTACTTTTTATCTTTTGATAGACAACACTTTTTTTTTCTGAAATGATATTTATTAACACTGTTTTGCCCTAAAATTTTGCATGAGCTAAAATATATCTGCGCGAACTTCTTCAATATCTGGTTTTATTGTTTAATAAGATATTCATTACATGGTATATATATTTATTTTCAATATCTTGTTTAATTGTTTTCGGTATCAAATAGAAACTTCGATATTCTTTTCCCAGAATTCTCAGTCCTTTTTTTATTACAAGACATAAGAAGATCATGAGATGTATCTTCATTGTTGCTCGTCCATCAATTTACATACTTCCTTCATCGCTGCTGCCAAGGATTCGTAGACCCTTCGGAAAACTACTTGAGTATCTCTGGTACATACTTCAAACTTTCGAAACATACACTCAACAGTTTTATCAAGATTACTGAAATAAATTTGAAGATGAAATATTAAGTAGAATAATTAAAAGTATTAAACAAATTGAAACGCATTTAACATATTACACTATTAGAAATTCCTCGAAAAAAATGGCTAAATAACAATTTATTTAATTGTTATTTTACCATATTCGAACAAAAAAGTCAAATAACCAGTGATAAGATGGTATTCAAACTGTTCACTGTGAGAAAAAACCGTTTAATAACTGCTTTGACCTAATACGGTTAAACAACCAGAATTTTATCACCATAACTGGAATCACCTAATGAAGCCGCTTAGTTCTTCGCAGATATGTATATATAGCAGAGAGGGATAATCTCTCAATCACATGACCAATAGAACGGGGGTTCGAATTCCAGCGTAGATACCGCATTGCTTCCTCCATTTCTTTCATCACATGAAGAGTTTCCAGTGTTCTACACTTCGCAGTTTTTTACCCTGGGCTATTAGGATATACATGGCGGACAGATGACAGCACCATAAAGCTGCTAAACTATCTCCAATATCCAGTTAAATTCTTTTTTCACAGTTTTGAAACCACGGTACTTGTGAATGGTTAAAAAAACATGTAGTTTTGTATTCATGTTTTTTTTAACCATACTAGTTGCAAATGATTTCAAAACTGTAAAGATAAAAAAATGTTCTTTACCGTAAACTTCACGGTCATTTGGATAGACAGACTGCAGCCAGTTAATTTTACCACAATTTTAGAATGAAAATTGTAACAGCTTAATCAAGAGCAATTTTTTATAAGATATGGATAATTTCTTTTCAACCATGCCATTTTTCGCACCATTTGTCTTTTAATCAAAATTATCTATTTATCTACTTCTTTAGGGTTCTAGACGTGAAGAAAAATATGTGCAATGCTGAAAAGTATACTGAAAAAAAAAAGTATGGTCAATACGCCTCGAATATGATAAAGTGCTTCGATAATGATTTCGGTAAAATTAGCAATAAAATGTGGTTTTATAATATGCGGCAAAATATGGTAAGTGTGGTAAAATTTAATAGTTTTCTCATGATACCTTAGAGAGGGACATAAAAATTATTTATTCGGTTCAATTTTTTTTTCAGTTTTGTTTCTTTACTAAATGCGTGGTAATAAGAAATATAATTTGGAAGAACAGTATTTCCCATAAATCATTACCATATTAACGGAATAAATATCAAACGAATGGTTAGAATTACATATATTTAGATATTTAATAACAGAATTGTATTTCTTTCTTTCTCTTTTTACCTGAAATGTCATCACCAAACAGTATGGTAATGTGAAAAGAATTTTTTTCTCCGAGTGAAATACGTGTTTTTTGCCGAATCCCCGATGATCCGCAAAGTTACAATTATGTTTTTGATAAAAAATTAAATAGATTATTTAATTCCTTAAACAGGAATTGCTTGAACTGTATTTATTTATGTTAAACTGAAAAAAAGGGGACTTCTAACACGCATTATTCACCAAACTTGAGAGTTTATTCCTCTCAATTCCAAACAATCCGATCATATTTAAACAAAAGCAATTTTTTTTAAACCTGATTTTTTTGACGTTGTTTGCTTACATTATATTTGATATATAATTTATAGTTCTTCACTTTCTGAACGATGCACCTAATTTACGTAAAACGAAAATAATTTTATTATTACATTAATTTTATTTGATTTACGAGCTTATTGGTAATTAGAGACTGTATTAGAAATAACCAAAAGCTCAAAGTTATGGTTCTTAAAATTTTAATTGCAGTATAATTAGTATAAATATAAACCGAACCAATACAAAATCAAAAAACTATTTTTTTAAACTTTAATGGGGACATTTAATTGTAATCAAAAAAATTTTTCTCGAGAAATTCTATTGTGAAGATAAAATGAGATAGCCATATTTACAAAGTTACTCGTTATAGAAATAATATTTAAAAGTTTTTTTTTTCAACATTCAATTTATTATTAACATTTTATTGAAATAGATGGTTAAAAATAAAGTCCACATTAAGATACTTACTAGCAAAGCTTGTTTCCCAAACCAACCAATTCTTTCCTTTTCTTATACGTTGAAATTTCATCATTGCATCCTGTTGTATTTGTAAGCGTCTCTATTTTACAAACTGGGTCGTTTTTCACCACTGAAAAGTAAGTGGTTCAGATTTGAGTTATTACAAAGGATTTTTATACGTAGGTCAGCATAACTAATGTATTATATTTTCCTCCTGCATAGCTGAAACATTAGAATTTTTAAGCAGGGTAAATCAAATCACACTTATTCTTGACTCGACATCGACTTCTCGGTACTTTATTTACTCGCCTTCCAATGAGGTGAGCCGGGGTTCGATCCCGTCGGTGGCTGATCGATACGAATTCCGCATCCGGCTTGCACCGACCACAGTGCCGACGAGAAATATTCTCAGTGGTAGATGGATCATGGGTTAGAGTCCCCTTACCGTCAGGCTAACCGTGGGAGGTTCTCGTGGTCGCAAATGCCGGTTAGTTCTATCATTAAGTCCTCCACGAAGACAAATTTTTCATAATACTTTATCCAGGAGTTCCCTTGTCTTCTGGATTGGGTTCAAAATTACAAGGCTACGCAGCTGAACATTAGTAGTCGTAAATCCGAAAATTGGGTCGGCTTTTCAACAACGGTTATATATGGGAGCCCGACGACCTAAAGTGCTTTACTGTGGAACAGTTTAACGGGAACCGATACTGCGTACCCTTCGCCCTCACGCAGGCTAATCAAAGTAGTCACTCACCAGTTTGCAGACAGCAGCCCATTCATTTACTGACATTGGTGTTCGACTGCGAACCGTGTCTTTACGATCGGTAACTGTGGGACACTATGTATATAGAATTCGAGCGATCGTAAATGACTGGACCAACGAAAAAGCCTGTAAATGATGATAAGAAATACGTATATGAATGAAAGTGCCAGATTTAGTTGAAGTCATATCTAATACTTAGGTATCTGACGATCTAGACAAAGTCTACAATAAATTAATGTTGATTTTATTTATAAGTTAACATCAATTGATAGAAATTTTGTATGTATAATTTTACTTTTCAGCTAAAATAAGGGAAATTGAATTATAAAAAGTCTGTTTTTATAATGCAAGTTTGTGTCTAGCATTATTGAAATAATCATTTGTCAAAACATTTTTGATGTAAGAATTGATCATGATCTTAGTTTTTCTAAAATGTAATTATTTGGGGTTCCATGAAGGAGTAAAACAATATGTTGTTTTAGAAACTGTTAATTTAAAATCCATTTTATTTCTGTGTGCATAATAAAGTAATAAAATTATTAAATGACAATCTTTCAAAACATTCTTCGTTAAGCCATATGAAATTTTATCAACTAAAATTTAATGAAAACAGAATAAGAAGCGGGTGAATAGTTTCAGAGAACTTGATTGGGAAATGTGGAAAATTATATTTTTATTGAAAGCGTAACTGCGGCTTGAAGATTGATGCAATTAAACTCAGATACAGTTTTTTTCTTGTTGAAAATGCTATAACTTCTCTGATGGTTAGAACTTAGAAAGTTGACCGGACTATGTAGTGGTCAGGGAGCTGACCTCACATCCGAAAAGTTCGAGTCACAGACATGGATATTCTTTCATTTTCTGTAATATCTGTCCTTACTGTCGGAGTACGTTGGCCCACCAAATACGGTGCTCCTGAAAGATTAGTTAACAAATCTGCGCTACTGATACCATAATGACGAGCGTCAATCAGCATTGAAAAAAAAGAATTAAGAAGAATTGCTTAACTTACAGAAAAAGACGAGTATCAATCAGCATTGAAAAAAGAAGAATTAAGAAAAATTGCTTAACTTACAGAAAAGGACGAGTATCAATCAGCATTGAGAAAAAAAGAATTAAGAAAAATTGCTTAACTTACAGAAAAGGACGAGTATCAATCAGCATTGAAAAAAAAAAGAATTAAAAAAATTGCTCAACTTACAGAAAAAGACGAGTATCAATCAGCATTGAAAAGAAAGAATTAAGAAAAATTGCTCAACTTATAGAAAAAGACGAGTATCAATCAGCATTGAAAAAAAAGAATTAAGAAAAATTGAACAACTTATAGAAAAAGACGAGTATCAATCAGCATTGAAAAAAAAAGAATTAGGGAAAATTGCTCAACTTATAGAAAAAGACGAGTATCAATCAGCATTGAAAAAAAAAGAATTAAGAAAAAAATGCTCAACTTATAGAAAAAGACGAGTATCAATCAGCATTGAAAAAAGAAGAATTAAGAAAAATTGCTCAACTTATAGAAAAAGACGAGTATCAATCAGCATTGAAAAAAAAAGAATTAAGATAAATTGCTCAACCTATAGAAAAAGACGAGGATCAATCAGCATTGAAAAAAAAAGAATTAAGAAAAATTGCTTAACTTATAGAAAAAGACCCAAAATGAAGCATTCAACATTTGGTTTCCAATGAGACTTAATAGGAAAAAAATTAAAAGACTTATTTGAAAAAGTAATTAATACTAATTGGTAATTTTAATAAAATTCGAAATTCAAACCTACCTTTGTTAGCATAAGTTCCTTCTGAACATACCGAATTTTGAATAAAATATGCTTTCTCAACTAAATTTGCGAATCCTGTTTGACATATTATAGCGCCTTCGTACAAGCAAAAAGTCAAAGGTGGCTGCATTCTGAAAAGATAAAAATTAAAATAGCGTATAGTTAACAGTACAGTCTTCAGTTTGTACTGTCAAGGCTGATTGTAATAGTTTATATAACGACTCACTCATTGCGTACATTTTACTTTCTGAAATATCAACTTAGCCAGCTCTAGTTACATTAAAATTCAACCCGCTAGATTATATATTGATTTTCGACATTTAGAAATATATTCCAGTTATACTTGGGACGAAAGAAAAAGAGAAAATATAATTTTTTCCTTGATGTGTGGATGGATCGATTATAGTTATATGGATGTTGCCAGAGCCATATTTTTACTCTATTGTTTTCTTGTAGAAAAAAGAAGTGTCACTGGTTTTGTCAGAACTATGTACAAAGCAAGGTATCACTGACTGTATCGGAATGACAAACAGGATTTTGAGATGTAGTGAAGAGCCGTGCTATTTCTTAATGTATTTTTTTTAAAGATCATTAACACTAGAAAGACGAATGTGGCCAATTGGCCTCCCTCGCATTTTGCTAATCTGTAATATGAAAAATAACTTACAGAAAGTGGTGAGCATTTCTGACTTTTCATAATTTGGTTTTACTAAAGGGCTTATTTAATCATCCATGTGTTAGCCTTATAGAAACAGATATTTGCCTAAATGAAAAGTGGATGCACGTGATAACGTCAGATATACTGTAGTAATGGCAGTATCCCTATTTACAGTTATAAATAACGGTAAAAACAATTCATAGCAAATTGCATTTTTCGGACAAATCAGCTTGCATGAAAGTATTTGAAATGAATTTAAAATTGTGCTAAGCATGAATGCGTCAAAACACGAAATATTACGATATTTATTAATAGATGGTAAAAATCACGCTGTTTTTATGTTCGAATAGTGGATGTTTAAGGTGAGCACTAGCATGAAAATCTGTGAAAGATGCTGTAAAATGTTTTGAGAAGAGTTTTTCGTCAATATCGGAAGTGCTTATACCACACTAACGAGATCTCTACAAAAATTCAGAGCTGTCGTTGATGAAATAATTAGAGGTAAGAAAAGCGTTTCAACCTATGACATCCGTGTAGGTATTTACATCTCTTCTTCGTCCACCTTTTGCCCTTGATTTTCGTCAAGAAATATTGAGGAAAGTGTATTTCTACACTTGTGGTCACACACACAATGAAGATGAAATAGTTTTGAAACACTTTCCCTTTAAGATTGTTAGTGATGAAAGAATTATTGATTTCACTAATATTTCCCTATTAGTTTTATTAAATAAATAATCAATCAATAGCTTACGTGCAAAGAGTAAATTCTTCTGGGTGGTGATCTTGAAACCATCTTTTCTGACACTTCCCTATTGTATTGTTGAAACATGCAAAATCACACGCTGCAAGTCCTACAAACACTAAAAACAAAAAAAAAAAAAATATTATAGTTGTAATTTATTTGCGTCACACTAGAGCTGCAGAATGAGCTATTTTATTTTTATCTTATTTTATTACCGTCGTTGAGCAGCCGACCCAATTTTATGGGTTTACGACTACCAATGTTCAACTCCGTAGCCTTGTAACTTTCCAGAAGACCCAATCCAGAAGACAATGGAGCTCCTAGATCGAGTATTGGGAGAGATTTGCCTTCGTGGAGGACTTTTTGATGGAACTAACCCGCATCTGCGTTACATGGAGAGCCTGATGGCAAGGGGAATCTAACCCACGATCCGTCTACCACTGAGGATATTTCACGTCAGCACTGTAGTCGGTGCAAGCCGGATTCGGTGTTCGTGAGGGCTATTGGCGACATTGCTGACGATGATCCGGCCATTACAATTGTGATCCTCTGCAGAAGGGATGGCACCCTCGCTTTGGTAGCCGAAGATCAGTACACGAAGTCCAGAACTTTAAGGTAGAACAGTTTAACGAGAGCCACCCTCACTCCAATTGCAGGTTTGTTATTGACAAAGTGGCCACCCGAAGCCAGTGATGCTTTCCAAATGATGCTTTCTAAATGATTTGGTGATCTGTTTGGTGTTTGGTCACCACTGGACCAAAAAAGAATATTAAAATGGAAACCATAATTGATTAATTTTCACTTTTTAGTTATTTATATTAGTTTTATAAATCTTTTTTGTTCCTTATATTACTTGATTTAAAAAATAAATTACAGTAGGATTACGCATACTTGTCTAAAGCTAGAAAAGTGGACAAAGTCCGAAATTTACTGAGAACTCGACTTCGAATAATGCTCAATGAAAGTTTCGGTTAAATCACATTGAGATTATTTTGGTTTCGATTTAAGTAATTGTTAATTTCAAATTATATGCATATTTTTTTGCGTGATTAAAGTAAAAAACACTTTATTTAAAATTACATTTTGTTTTAAAGTTATTATTTAATGATTGAAGAAATAAAACTTAAACATATATATTCGTGTAAATTAATGAAATTGTGTGAACCATTTTAAGAAAGAAACTACATACCTATTTTTTACATATACACACGCGCATATATATAAATGTTCTACGACAAAAAATGGTTTAGTGAATAATCACGAATCAGGTAACATTTAAAAATAATGCATTAAATTTATTCATCTATTTCAATTTAATTAACTTAGTTACTAATTGAGAAGTAATTTCTAATTGAGTAACTTAGTAACTCCTAATTGAGGCTAAATAAATTTGGCTTTTTAATTTATAAAATTAAACGACAACTTATTGATACTTTTTTTATTAATCTCGATTATTGAATATTTTTATTGATTTTCTGAATTCTTTTTCAATAGTTTGGCTAAACACAGGCTTAAAAATGTTGGAATTTATTTAACTAAGTGTGTGATAATTAATAATTTAAATAGTTGTCATTCTTCGGGTTATAATTTTCATTACGTGATTATGAATATTCGTCTAACTAGTTTTCAGCAGATCATAATCTCTTTTTCTTCTGATAATCTGCATGACCGAATATTTAACTTATTAGAGTCAGAGTCCAGTAAGTTAAAAATTTAAATAATAGTCATAACATTTCTCCTGGTTATAAATTTCATTACATAATTATGAACTTTTGTCTAAATAATTTTCGGCAGATCATAATCTCTTTTTCTTCTGGTAATCTACATGACAGAATATTTAACTCACTAGAGTCAGAGTCCAGTAAGTTAACAATTTAAATAATAATCATAACATTTCTTCGGGTTATAATTTTCATTACATAATTATGAATATTCGTCTAAATAGTTTTCAGCGGATCATAATCTCTTTTTCTTCTGGTAATCCGCGTGACAGAATATTTAACTCACTAGAGTCAGAGTCGAGTAAGTTAATAATTTAAATAATAGTCATAACATTTCTTCGATTTATAAATGTCATGAGATTATTATGAACATTTGTCTAAATAATTTTTGGCAGATCATAATCTCTTTTTCTTCTGATAACCTACATGAGCGAATTTTTAACTTACTAAAGTCTGAGTCTCAAGCAAATTTTTTCGTCTCCAGCTCCGACTCTCACATAATTTTTTCGACTCCGACTCCAGTGTTTTGTAAACATCTAAATAGTGGTGATCGTTAATATATTGAATCTGTATATTCAAATGAAATTGGTGTCACTGCGCTTTAAGTTTCAAATGTTTCAATTTATGTGGATGAGGTAATTATGAGGTAATTATGTAAATGTAAAATGTTCAATCCAACAGCTAGAGTCGCAGATGAGACTTTATGATCGCTGCCACAATTAACTCATTCATTTTAAATTTAGTTTTAAACAAATATGTCACGAGCAAAATTTAAAGATTATTTGACACAAAAATAAATTTTACTTATCTATACATAATAATAAACGCGGCTGTGTGTGTGTGTCTGTAATCACAATATATCGCCCCAGAAGCCTCGCCCAGGCACGAAACTCGGCACATAATTGTGTTTTGACATAATGAAGAAGTATTTTTTTTCTTTTTCAAAAATTTGGATTAGTT